ACGTGAAGTAATGAAACACTAAAAAAATTTCAAAATGATCCCACTCAATATTATATCAGCAGTAGCTGACGTGTGTTTAAGGCTCTCGCTAACAACTCGCTAATAATGACTACACGCCAGCTATTGTTGACCATGTAAATCCACCCGACAAAGTATCGATTGGGATCATTTTGAAATCAGTTTAGCGTCGGGCAAATCAGTAGTCTGCTACACAGCCGTTTTTAGTGTTATCACGCAACGCTCCTCAGTGGGGAGGAGCGTTGCGTGACGACACTACAAACGGCTGTGTAGAAGACTAGCGAATCAGATATATCAATATAAGACAAGACAAACACAGTTGTTAAGGCAGCTTTTGATTTCAACATCAGATGGGAAAAATGAGTGAAAAGCTGATGTTTTATTGTTTGACTGTTACCTTAATTTCACTGATAAGAATTTTCTAAATCTCATTTCCAAACCCCTTGCCTTTTTTGTCAGGAGCAGATGCCGCTCCTGATTTTGTATACTATAGTTTTGTCATAATCTGCAACTATCCCTTTTGATCACTTTTGAAAATGGATGTTGACTAGCATAAGACACATCAAGTTTTTATAAAAATGCGAAAGTTCACAATGTTTATCACCACTGTTTGTGTTTTATTTTTGATCAAACTGAGCCAAGTAATAGATCCTCTTGTTTTGCTTTTTGTTGTTATTCTGTTTCTTTCTTTTTTTCATATATCAAACTGCACTGTAAGTAAACAACGCTCGTTTATTCGTCAGAAGCTCTGTCACGATATTGATAAAAATTCAAACAGTGACAGTTGCCATCAAATTGAATCAAACATAACCGGTTCAGTTGTCAACGAGGCCAATGTGAGTTCGAAGGACTCAGTAATCTGAGATAAGCTACAGGTTCTTGTGCAAGCCTTCTATACATTGCCTTGTACTTACTCTGAATGTCTGTGTTTCATTTTTTTGATAAAGTATTTCTTTTTCTTCGGTTGGTATCTGTTACTTTCCGGTAGATTTTCTTCATGTGTCTGTCATGTGCTTACCGAAAGCTTCTGGCCATTGGATGCAAAAAAAAAGAGATCACAGCTAGGAGAATTACCAGAATTAACTTAACATTCAGAGAATATATATCTATGCCCCACTGCATGCCTTTCAATACTTTCATGGCATTTTTATTAGCGTCCGGTGTCACAGTGATATCAGCATCCCCGCGTTTTGGGCATCCCCATTCCAAAACCCTAGTGATGTGGGTATCCCCTCTAACCCTAATTCAAATCGCTACGGTAGTATGAGAAGGGGATGCCTGTATCGCTACGGTTTTGGGAATGGGGATGCCCAAAACGCAAGGATGCCCATATCACTGTCACACCGGGGGTACTCCACTGATTTTACTATCAAGATGTGCGGCTGAATCTTCGAGACTCTGGACCAGTTCCACACAAAATAAATAAATTTGCGACTCTGTTTAATACAGATAATAAAATAGGAATCCTAAAGGAATCCTATCCCTGTGGCCAACCTCAGTCTTTCCAGGCGTTGACATGACAGGACAAAAACGGCTGCCAGGGGGAGACTGGGAGCGAAGAATACACTACAGTGCTTCGTACATGTGGATAACCACTGCTGCTGACCAGTTGTTGTTTTGAAAGATGGAACTTAATCATGGCGGTGCAGTAGTTAGAGAAGAATACCAAGAAATCAGGAGTGTTTTTAACAACAGAGACCATTCTGGTATTTCGGCAGTTATATTTGATCCCCTTGAAGAACTTGTGTGGACAGGAAATCAATCGGTAGGTCTTAAGAGAATCGATAGGAAATTTGGTGTGGTCATAATGATTTCTGTGATCTTAATTAACTGAGCTTATCTTATTTCATGTAAAAAATTATGTTAAAACTAACGAAATTGAATTGAAGTGTTTAGGTCAGGGACATATTTCACTAGGTTACACTGGTTGTAAAGTAAAAATCTTGTCCCCTTTTTTGTCTGATCTCTACGCAGATCTCATTGTTGAATAAGAATTTTGATCAGAAACTGGCCGCTGGTTGCCAAAAAACATTCTAAGTTGGAATTAAGTTAATATATTTTAAATTGAAATTGAAAAATCCATTCCTCATAGTTCAGTTTAGAAGATTATTACACTGTATGTTTGTAGATGGCTACATAGTAACATACATACAATAGTAGAACCTTTCTTCAGTGACCACTGTTACGGGGGAGGTACAGTGCCACTCAAAATGACATTACCACCCCTAACTCACCTACCTCGTCTAGACTTGAAGGATGAGAGTCCTGTGTCAAGAGACGAGACGCTCATCTCTAGAGAATGTTGTAGGAGACACTTTTGTGGGGCAAGTTGAAAACACTGACCCCTGGGCCGCGGACTACCCACTTACCCCCACTCTGCAGACTACCCTACAGAGTACCCCTACAGATTACCCTAAAAAATCAACCAAATTTACTTTTGCATGGGAAATTGATAGAACAAGCCTACCTCCACTCTGTTGCCTATGAATTCTGCCTTCATTAACAGCAGCCATCTTGCTTTTCGCCTTTTTACTCGACCTAGTCTTGCCTCATTCCTGGATTTCACTCACTTGCATGTAGTTTTCACCTGCAGACCCAGTCTGCGGTCTTTTGTGAAATAATTACCAAACGATGATAGCTCAAATTTCATAAAATCAGTCAGTGGATGTAAAATTAATACCAAAAACCCCACGGCAGGAGGTGGAGCCAATTTTGGAAGGAGTAGCCATCTCGACTAGAAGAGGGGGCCATTGAGGGGTACCCAATACTGCAATAACACAAGAAAAATAATATTTATTGACAAATACCAAAGTACCATGTCAAAAATTGACCAAATACCAATACTGCATCTATGACTGGCCACGCTTACTTATACATTAGTAATCAACCTCTTGGTACAAACCCTTACCAGGGCTCAAAATTGCGAATGATATGGTTGCCAATGCGACTAACATTTTTCTCCTTAATGACTAAAAATTCTGGTTTAGTTGCCAGAGTGGTGACCAGATTTCTCTATGATTTAGATTGAAATTAAAAGAGTAAATCTTGCTTTGTCATAAAAAGTGTGCCAAGTCGGATAAGAAAGCCAGTTAACCTCCAAATTTATACCAACTTCTGTCCACGATATTTTCAAACAATCAGATCCGATGGATCACGCCATACTACAGGCTTCTGATAGGTCGCAGAAAAAAGTCAAAGTTTTGGGGGATTTTCAGAGACAGACTCGCAGAATTTTTCGGGGCTAACTTCACCGAAAAACAATCAGGAAAAAAAAGGACCAATTTTGTGGGAATTTTCTGGGCAAATTTCGCTAGAAATTGATCGATTTTATGCAGATTTGATGAGTGTCTGTAATGTTTTTTACCAGAGATAATTATTTTGCTATTTTAACAATAAAGCGCTCAAGAAATGAGCCAATGGCAAAGCTTTTAACATCGTGACTAGCGCCCAAGTTTTTGCAACATAATTTATGCCTGGTAGTTTTGGGATGTAGTTTGCTCGTTGTGGTGATAAAGTTTCAAAATAACTTTGCAAGTTTACGGCAATTAAACACCTCCAATAGCCAAGATAAGTTTCAAATATGTTGTACCGACATGTATTGGATAAGATTTCTAGCTAATTTCACGGTATTTTGGATGTTTTAGTGAATTTCGAGGGGATTTCTTGGATTTACTTAAATTTCTCAGAAGCCCTGATACTATGAGCTACATCGTTTACATTATACAAACTGGCGACTAAAACTTTGCATCTGGCGACTATATTTTTCCAGTTGGTCAGAAAAAGGTGACTTGATGATTTTAATTTTGAGCCCTGCCTACCAACATGTTTCATCATAGATTAACTGTCAGAAATTGAGTAATCTGCAACATGTACCTTGAAGTCTAAATTCCTAAATGTATTGGGCCAAATATTTAAACATAGCTTAGCTAGTGTTTAACAAAACCACATTCTAGGTCATTTTCATTTTGCCCAACAATTTTATCAATTGAAAACATCATTTATTGTAAACAGTTTTATGAAAGCATACAGAGAAGACTAGAAAAGCATTTATCTTCTTAAAACAACCCACCAAAGAAGAGATCTGAAGGTTCAAAGATTCGTTAAACCGCAGCTTAAGTTAGACTTCATTTACATATTTGGCCCATTAACTGTTATTAACCTTTATAGCTTACTGTGTTTTGTGTGTGGACACTGTATTGACCTGTATTAGACGGTAAAGCACAAATAAATGGTACTGCAATACCATGAACGATATTCTTTTACTGTAATACTGTTAGCAGCCAAAAGGATGAAAAACTGCATACCGCAGGGCTAGATGATCCTGCAATACCTCACATTAAAATCAAAATTTCTGAAATAGTGCTTGAAAAAAACCTCAGTACTGCAATACCGTAAATCCTAGAGGTCCCTGGGCCTCAATCTTCTAAAAAGGATCAACACATATACTGGGCACTAAGTTAGGTTGTAATAAGAAAGACCGGGTCCAGGAAAAAGCAAGATGGTGGCTGTTTATTTAGTTAATGGTAGGAATGAGGATAGGTTTCTTGTATCTCTTTGCACCCTAAAAAGTGAATTAGGTTGACCTTTTTATTGTATTCCCTAGAGGTACTCTATGCTGTGGTCCGCAGAGTAGTCCGTAAGGTAGTACGTGGAATGGGGATAAGTAGGGTAGTCTGCGTACTGGGGGTCAGTGTTTTCAACTCACCCCACTTTCGTGTGTTACAAGCTTTGTGTTTTCATGCTCTTCCTCAAATCCTCTGTCAATGTTTAAGTGATAAAAATGGTAGACATGCTTCTTTGTAATAGCTTTTCTTGATTCTTTTCCACTCAGCCAACAACTGAAAAACAACATCCACCTGACTTTTATTTCTGAGCATTCCAAGCCTTCTGTTTGGAGATTTTTAAAATTTAGTGTGCCATTAGAATGGTTTTCAGAAGCCATTTGAATAGTTTTTTGCTGACATGCTTGTCTTGTTCTGGACTAAACCTTCTTCAGTATTTTGAGTTTTGCAAGTTGAGGACTTGATGATGGCTCATAAAACATGGCGGCACCTTGACAGCAGTGCCCTGGACCTGAACCAAATATCTGCAGACTTTTCTGTGGATTTCATTCAAAACTTATTCCAAAATTGCTGCCTCGATGATTCTCACAAGATGAGAGTCTCATTTCTTATAAAGATGAGATGCTTTCCCCTTATATGAGATGCCGTTTTTGCTTTTATTGGCTGTTTTGGAGAGGTTTCCTTGGCAACAGAGATTATGTTAGCAGTTGGAGAGGTAGCTTTCATAGAGAACCTGAACATATGGACTGTTTTTTTTTTCTGTTTTGTTTGACTCGCTCAGGGCTACTTGGCATCATATTTTGGTCCTGAGTTACAGAAGTATACATCATTCAAAGTTCATCATGAAGAAATCCGTCATGTAACAGCCAATGACCATGGAATACTCTCTCTTTCCTGCAATGAGCTCTGCTTCTCTTCTCGGCCAGGACTACGAGTCTTTAGGCTCAGGTAAGAAGTACAGTAATGCAAAATGATAATAATAATGGTAATAGTAATAATAATAGCCCAAGATCAAAGCCTCCTAACATACTGTACCAATACAACATCTTAAAGAAGCCCGAGGTGGAGCCAAAATGTAGACTGTGTGGCCGTTTCGACAAGACCATTGACCACCTGCTGGTCTCTGGATGCCCTGAACCGGCTAAAACTAAATACACCCACCGCCACAACAAGGCAGCTGCACACATGCACTGGAAAATCTGCAAAGAGTTTGGCATTGAGGTGAAGGAATGATGGTATGAGCATGAACCCGAGGCTGTCACCAAGAATGACAGCATCACTTTTCTGTGGGACATGCCTATTCACACTGACAGGACCATAGCAGCTAATAGGCCGGACATTGTGCTAAAGAACAAGAAGGACAAAACCTGCCTCCTCATTGCCATGACTATACCCCTCAACACCAACACCTCAGTCAAAACCAGGGAAAAGATTACCAAATACAAAGACTTGGAAATCGAGGTTGAGCCAATGTGCGGGCTCAAAACAACAACAGTCCCGGTGGTTATGGAAAACTACACCAACAAAATCCCTGGCAACATCAACATTCATGAACTCCAGAAAGTAACTCTCCTTTCTACAGCCCACCTTCTCAGGCGGGTTCTCTCCATCAAGTAGAAACCCTCTTTGCCTCCCAAAGTCCATGGTTTGGACTCGGATGTTGAGAGAGAAAATCAATCACAATAATTAAACTAGTATATCTTATAATAGTAGTAATAATAATAATAATAATAATAATAATAATAATAATAATAATAATAATAATGATGATGATGATAATAATATACACTTTTGGTTTATACACACTCAGTGATTTTGGTCATTCAAGCAATCTGATTGCTTCGCTATCTCAGACTATGATGTTATATTCACCACTCTAGGCGGTAAATATAAAGCAGAACAAAATTGCTGTCCTAAACTGGGTGTTTTGCTAAAGTTTTGTAGTAAGAACTTTTTGAAAATACCAGAATATCCTAGTGTTGATGACTTTGAAGGTAAGAAAAGACCTCATGGTGTTTAAACAGTGTGACTTATTTTGAAGTGGTTTACTGTAGCTGACTTTTTGTACACTCAAAGCAATGTTTACCACTACAGAGGAAAACTAGGCTGCTTTCTCACTGTTTTGTGAACTCAGAAGACCAATTTTGCCTATAAATAGAAGTTAATTTATGGAGAAAAAGGGAAGGCAAATATTTTCGAAAACTGTACGTGCTAGCAAGTTAACAAGGCAAAGAACACTTCAGATAAGATACCTTGATGGTAGCCGCTGTTGACAGCATTTGCAAGAAGCGACAAAAAAAACTTCCTCATTCATGGTGAGTTGACAGAAACAAATAAAGCTCTATGTTTCTTCTCAGGATTGGGTAGTAATTTCAATGTTTTCTTTTAAACCGTTGATGCTAAAGCTTACAAAAATCGATACAAAAAGATTAAAACTATCATTTGCCATGTTTGGAGATACTGTAAAGATCTAACTTTTGTGCATCTACTGTTAACGGCTTCGTGTTCACGCATGAATACACCCTTTCTGATTCTGTTGAGATCAGTTCGTGTGAATATACTAAAACAATTATTCACCTCAGACACAGTAAATATTGTTGAATAATCCCCAATTATTCAACAATATTAACTTCGCCTTCGGCAAATAATTTTTGAATGTACCGTGTAGGCCTTCCTCTTAGTGATCCAAAGCTTTTTACAACGCTAATAGTAATAAACCTAATAGAACATTACAATGAATTAATTGTTAAAAATTAATGTTACAATGAATGAAGTGAAGGTTGTTGGGAGAATGAAGGCTGTTGGGACATTATATTGCCGAAAAATATTCTTCAACACCAACAATTTGTTTACAGTTATACAGTGCTTTAATTTGAAACCGAATAACAGCAAACGTCACTGATAAGGGATCCAGATGGGTTCTGAAAGCTCTGCATAACTTTCATCAAATTGTTCCAAATGGTGAAGCATATTTTTCTGTGACTGTTACATGTGATGAAACCTAAACCTGTGGAGCACAAATGCAACCTCTTTGAATTTAACAATTGAGTATTGATGAGAAGAGACATATGCACGGGCGGATCTAGGGGGAGAGTGCAGGGGGTGTGCACCCCCCCCCCCCCATCCCCTGAGATGACCTGCGGTTTTCTAATACAACTGGTATTCTGCAAAAAAAAACTATGTGGTTTATTGGTGTTGAAATAGAGCAAGAGACCAGTGCACCCCCTCCTAAAAAAAATCCTGGATCCGCCCCTGCTATGTCACTAGGGACTTAGCCTGTAGGGGTCACTGATTTTAGCCAGGATAATTCATTTTGTGATCTCAAAAACTGTTTAACTTATGTAGACAGCAAGAAAATAATTTAAATAGTGGCAAGTAGTTGAATTGCAATTTTTATAGTTCCTTGCACATTACATACCATAAACTGCCGCTTATACATGTAAGCTCAAGGCTTCTTAACCCTTTAAGTCCCAATAGTGACCAACATCAATTTTCTTCTAACGATACCCATAGATTGTCATGAGATGAGGTTATGAGAATTAAGAAAATGATCACCTAAGAGAAAATACTTTGATCTTTTATCAAATTCTCTCAACTCATTCTTTAAGGAAATGTATAGAGATCAGTTTGGAGAATTTGTACATGGATATTGGGGCTTAAAGGGTTAAGGAGTTTTAGGAGGGCTTACACATGTATCTGAGGGGGCTTAGGGATGGGACCATTATTTTTCTACATAGCACTATTAAATTTTGGATTGTAGAGTAGCACATAGTGCTAGTATCTCCAAACTACATAATTTTTAATATAAAAAATAACAAAGATCTAAAGCCCAAAAAAGGGCCTAACTTGGGTAATAAATTGAAATTATTTCAATACATTTGAATGAGGGCTAATAATTATCCGGGGAGGGGAGGGGGGTAGCTTATAACTGAATGTATTTTCCTGGTTACGAGCAGATGGGCCTTTAACGGATCATTATACGTTTCTAGGAAACTGCCCACCTACCCCTTTCCTAACCAACATTTTGCCATTAGTAAGAAGTAAGTGTTAATGTTCGCTTAGGGGAGGGGTGGGAGGCTTATAACTGAGGAAGGGAGCAGCAGTTTATGGTATATAATCATGTCTCCTCACCTACCCTCTTTGTGCCTCGTGTCACATAAGGCCTTCCCAGAGTCCTTCTGGTTTCTGTAATAACAGGGTTTTACTGGAGAAGGGTTCCCAGCCTAAGGCTCAATACCCAACTTGGAGCACCAGGGGACCACACTTTGCCTGGCCTCTATCCTTCGACCTGTTCGGCATGGTTGGCCTTACCAGAAGTCAAAGACTCCAGCCGACATAGCTCTATGGGTCACTGAAACACGCAAACCACTCCACCACGGTAAGGTGGTGGTCCCTTTGGAGTGGATACATACAATCATATACCTTGCAGCAAATGTGACAAACTCTTTGTTTCATTTCAGTGGGACAGACCTGTCAGACTTGCAGTGCATGCTGCAGGGGGATGAGACACATTTATGGGTTGCTGGGCATCAAAACTTGATGCTGGAAGTAGACTTAAAGAAGGGACTGGTCAGCAATAAGGTAATTCACTTTAGTGTTCAACATGCTGCCCTTTAAGGTACATGTACATTGTAATGATCCATCGATCTAGCAATTCATCGATCTAGAGATCCATCGTTCTAGCGATCCATCGATCTAGCTATCCACCGATCTAGCGATCCATTGAACTAGAGATCCATCAGTCTCGCGATCCATTGATCTACTCATCCATGGTTCTAGCGATTCATCAATCTAGCGATCCACTGTTCTAGTAGCCTGAGAGCAAGCTCTCCTATTTGGGCGAGCCTCGCGAGAACGCGCATTCTCGCAAGACTCGCTTCGCTCGCCCAAATAGGAGAGCTTGCTCACAGGCTACCGATCTAGCGATCTACTGATTTATCCATCGAGCGATCCATCGATCTAACGATCCATCGATCCACTGATCCATCGATCTAGGATTTCAACGATATAGCAATCCATCAATCTACTGATCCATCGATCTAGCGATCCACCGATCTAGCGATCTACTGATCCATTGATGTAGCGATCCATCGACGTACTCATCTATCGATCTAGCGATCCATCGATCTACTGATCCATCGATCTAGCGATCCATCGATCTAGCGATCCACCGATCTAGCGAATCCAGCGTTCAACTTATAGATCGATCTGGCAATCCATCAATCTAGCGATCCAGCGATCTACTGATCTAGTGATCCATCGATCTAGCGATCCACCGATCTAGCGATCCATCGATCTACTGATCCATCGATCTCAATCAAAATCAAATCAAAATCAATCAAGCTTTATTTACAACGGTATCACTTGGGTGACACAGGAAACTATCGTGGTATATCCCTAACTGTTACAGCCGCGAAAATCTATAACAAGATTCTACTAGATCGAATGAGACCTCGTCTGGATCCTCTGTTCAGAGTGAACCAAAACGGATTTCGTACGGGTAGATCTACACTACCGCAAATTATAACTCTGCGTAGGCTCATAGAGGGAAAAAAAGAAAAACAGCTACCTGCAATATTGACTTTCGTAGACTTCAGTAAAGCCTTTGATTCGATACATCGCGAGAAGTTGATGGAGATCCTCAAGGCATATGGAATTCCAACAAAGATAGTGGATGCCATCAGCATACTCTACAAGGAAGCACCGGTGATAACACCGAAGCACAGGTGATAACTCCTGATGGTGATACGGAATTCTTTGAAATTCTTGCGGGAGTTCTGCAAGGAGACACGCTCGCACCTTTTCTATTTATCATAGCCCCTGGATTATGCTCTTAGAGAAGCTACTAGAGAAACACACACTGGGTTCACGCTTACACCACGGCAGAGTTCCCGTCACGTAGCAACATATATCACCGACACTGATTTCGCGGATGATCTTGCCCTAATTTCTGACTATCTTGGAGAGACACAACTTCTCTTATTAAGACTGGAGGTTGCTGCGAAAACAGTGGTTCTGCATGTTAACTACAGGAAAACGGAATACATGCTGTACAATCAACCTGTAGATCTTGTCACACTGGGAGGGAACAAATTGAAACAAGTAGATAACTTCAAATATCTTGGTTCGTGGATACAATCCAGTGAAAAGGACATGAATATAAGAATTGGACAAGCTTGGAGTGCACTCAACAAAATGATGAAAGTGTGGAAATCAAACCTAAAAAATCATCTCATAGTAGGTTTCTTTCGGGCTACAGTTGAAAGTGTACTGCTTTATGGTGCTGAATGCTGGACAATGACTGGAAAGATGAGGAATAGACTAGATGGTACGTACACAAGAATGCTCAGAGCAGTTCTTGGAGTTTCCTGGAAGGAGCATAAAACCAACAAAGAAATGTACGGCAACCTTCCCAAGATTACAGATACACTGATGATCAGGAGGCTGCGGTTTAAAGGACACTGTTGGAGAAAAAAGGATGAGGTGATAAGTGATCTACTACTCTGGGAACCAAATCACGGCGCAAGAAAGAGAGGACTACCAGCAACACCATATGTAGACCAGCTGCGAAATGATACTGGTTTGAGCATTGCTGAACTGAAGAGCATCATAGAAAACCGGAAGGAATGGATGAAGCTAGTTAATGGAGTTCGAGTTCGCTCGAAATAAACAAGCAAAGCAAGCAAGCATCACTTCATTAAAACTGCTCTTCCAGTGAGCCGTTTACATAACAAAATTTTAAGGGAAACTATACTAATGCTAAAAAAAATATCTATATATTAAGAAAATCTATCCTATAATTAATTACACAAAAATCAATCAACCTTAAAGGTACATTATATAACTAAAATAAATTCTATCTCAACTCCCTCAAGGCAATCCCTGGTTCAAGACAAAGACAGAGCAGACTTGAAAGAGTTGAGATTTATCTCATCTTTAAGCACATTTTCTAGGCCATTCCACATGACTGCTCCCCTATAGCTAAAAGCCCGCTTAGCAGCTTCAGTGCGGGGCCTTGGTACAAAAATGTTGTTCGAGGCACCTCGCACGTTGTAAGAATGAATCCCGGAGGTTGGTTTAAACGTGTTTTAGCGATCCATCGATCTACTGATCCATCGATCTGGCGATTCATCGATCTACTGATCCTTCGATCTAGCGAGCCATCGATCAAGCTATCCACCGATCTAGCTATCCAGCGATCTACTGATCCATCGATCTACAGATTCATCGATCTACCGATCCATTGTTCTATCGATCCATTGAACTAGAGATCCATCAATCTAGCGATCCATTGATCTACTGATCCATGGTTCTAGCGATTCATCGATCTAGCGATCCACCTATCTAGCGATCTACTGAGATCATCGAGAGATCCATCGATCTACTGATCCATCGATCTAGCGCTTCATCGATCTACTGATCCATCGATCTACAGATCCATCGACCTAGCGATCCACCGATCTAGCAAATCCAGCGATCTACTTATAGATCGATCTAGCAATCCATCAATCTAGCGATCCAGTGATCTACTGATCCATTGATCTAGCGATCCATCGATCTAGCGATCCACCGATCTAGCGATCCATCGATCTACTGATCCAGCTGCTAAGAGGGCCTTTAGCTATAGGGGAGCAGTCATGTGGAATGGCCTAGAAAATGTGCTAAAACACGAGATAAATCTCAACTCTTTCAAGTCTGCCCTATCTTTGTCTTGAACCAGGGATTGCCTTGAGGGAGTTGAGATAGAATTTTATTTTAGTTATTTAATGTACCTTTAAGGTTGATTGATTTTTGTGTAATTAATTATAGGATAGATTTTCTTAATATATAGATATATTTTAGCATTAGTGTAGTTTCTCTGAAAATTTTGTCATGTAAACGGCTCACTGGAAGAGCATTTTTAATGAAGTGATACCGTTAATAAAGCTTTATTGATTGATTGATCGATCTAGCGATTCATCGATCTACTGATCCATCGATCTACAGATCCATCGATCTGGCGATCCACCGATCTAGCGAATCCAGCGATCTACTTATAGATCGATCTAGCAATCCATCAATCTAGCGATCCAGTGATCTACTGATCCATTGATCTAGCGATCCATCGATCTAGCGATCCACCGATCTAGCGATCCATCGATCTACTGATCCATCGATCTAGCGATTCATCGATCTACTGATCCATCAATCTACAGATCCATGGATCTAGCGATCCACCGATCTAGCGAATCCAGCGATCTACTTATAGATCGATCTAGCAATCCATCAATCTAGCGATCCAGTGATCTAGTGATCCATCGATCTACCGATCTAGCGATCCATCGATCTACCGATTTATCGACATAGCGATCCATCGATCTACTGATCCATCGATCTAGCGATTCATCGATCTACTGATCCTTCGATCTAGCGAACCATCGATCTACTGATCCATCGATCTGCTGATCCAGCGATCTATTGATCCTTCGATCTAGCAATCCATCGATCTACCGATCCATTGATCTACCGATCCATTGAACTAGAGATCCATCAATCTAGCGATCCATTGATCTACTGATCCATGGTTCTAGCGATTCATCGATCTAGCGATCCACCGATCTACTGATCTATCAATCTAGCGATCCATCGATCTAGTGATCCATCGATCTGGCGATCAACTGTTCTAGCGATCCATCGATCAAGCAATCCACCGATCTAGCAATCCAGTGATCTATTGATCCATCGATCTATAGATCTATCGTTCTAGCGATCCACCGATCTAGCTATCCACCGGTCTAGCGATCCAGCGATCTACTGATCTATCGATCTAGCTATCCACCGATCTAGCGATCCAGCGATCTACCGATCCATCGATCTAGAGGTCCATCAATCTAGCGATCCATCGATCTAACGATCCACTGATCTAGCGATCTACTAATCCATCGATCTAGCGATCCAGCGATCTACTGGTTCATCGATCTAGGAATTCAACGATCTAGCGACCCATATAACTGCTGATCCATCGATCTAGCGATCCACCGATCCTACGATCTACTGATCCATCGATCTAACGATCCACCGATCTACTGATCCATCGATCTAGTGATCCATCGATCTAGCGATTCATCGATCTACTGATCCATCGATCTAGCGATCTGCTGATCCATCCATCGAGCGATCCATCGATCTACTGATCCATTGATCTAGCGATCCATCGATCTACTGATCCGTCGATCTAGCGATCCCTCGATCTAGCAATCCACCGATCTAGCGATCCAGCGATCTATTGATGCATCGATCTAGTAATCCATCGATCTAGAGATCCATCGTTCTAGCGATCCATCGCTCTAGCTATCCACCGATCTAGTGATCCAGCGATCTACTGATCCATGGATGGAGCGAACCATCGAATTAGCGATCCATCGGTCTAGCGATCCTTCGATATAGCGCGCCATCGTTCTAGTGATCCATTAATCAGTTAGGGTACTGTCAGTAGTGCTTTAGGTAGAGCGATTTTCGTATGACCTTAAAATGAAACGCGCGAACAATACAGAAACAACAAACGAACGGAAATAGAGCGATTTGATTGGTTTATCCAACGGATACAAACCGGCGTGGCTTTTGGTTGGTTAAGCGAGCGCTCGGGTGAAAAAACTTCACGGGCGAGAACTTTCTAGAAATCAATCGGCTTCGCTTTGACGTCATACTGCAACACGATTGGCCAATCGAACAATGCCTTCTTCATGTTAGGGTTTTCTTTGGCGGGAAAACGAGGAGGCTATGTTTTGATCTTTCCATCCGTTGGCCGATAAAACAAGGAACGAACACTTACCGAAACGACTTTTCAAAGTCATACGAAAATCGCTCTAACTAGCATGTAGTTTATCCATACTTTAAATACTTAGAGAACTTTCTCCTAGCAGTGGTTACAGTCCAACTAATTGTAAAGAGTTCATTATTTAAGAAAGACTTTTTATTGTTGATGTTTTTTCAACTATAGACTGAGGTGGAACCTGGAACTGTTGTAATGAAACAGTCTGCTCGTTATCTTTGCTGCGGTGACACAGCTGGCAAGGTAATGTACGATCTTTTGTTGTTTTATCTGTGACCCCCTATTCACACCAAAGCTTAAACATGTTTGTTTAGCTTGAGATGGTTGAAAGTTATTTTTTTCTTTATGAAAGCTGCTTATTGTACTTTCATTGATGCAAATTTAGTGTAATTATATAACATTTTAAAGTTCATTTAAATTTTTTGTAAAATCCTGCGTTTAAGTTTTCTGTTAATGATTTTCATTTTTTAAAACCTAGTTTAATTAAACTGTTTAGCTGGTGTGCATGGGGTCTTAATATTAATAATGACCCCGACGTGTTATGCAGACTGCAACACTTAAATCAAACCTGCCATGTACAACACATTCTCGTAAGCCACAAAGGGGGAAAATTACACATGAGCTTAATGTAGCGCTTGTTTCTTCTCATCATCGCTTAAAGAACGAGGTATGTTACACGTTCATTCCGCTTGTTTCGTCTCGTGATGGTTTAAAGAACGAGATATATGGCACAAACTCTTTATTTAACAAAAATTAACTTTGTTTCTCTGTACACTTCACCTGATAAAATTTTGGCCACATGACTTAGCATGACTCAGCATTTCGAACGATTTAACTCTGGTTTCGGGCAACATACAGCAACCTTGGGAGAGATGACTTTCGGGCAACTTGACCGGTTACCACCCGAAAGTTAGCCTGTGAACAAGCTCTCCGGTCAAAACAGTTAGGAAACTTGGTCGTTTCCCTCCGCCTCCCCCTTCACAAAAGGAAGTGATCGTCATAGTGATTGGTTGCAGCTATAATTCATTCAGGCACCGGGTTTTTGACGTTTTTGGATTGTAACTTTGGTGCGCTGCAAGTCTGAGATTCCTCAGGCATTCACGAACTGCTTTACTAAAGAATTCACAAAGTAACGCACGGTGTAAGAAGCACAACGGAAACCGCCTTACTAAACATGTTGATTTTGTTGACAGTAATGACTCAGTAACCCCATTAGGTTTTTGTAAAACTGTGATGTGTTGTTAGTAAATGTGTATACCAGTAGTTCTATCAAAACGCAAAGTGCTATGTAACTGGAATTAAAAGGAACAGTTTAATTATCCCAACAGTAAATGATCGTTACATTTGATTTACATACGCCATGTTTCCTATCAGGTTCGGCTGAGAGATCCTTCTTCCTTAACCTGTGAACATGTGTTAGATGCACATACCGGGACATTGTCTGATTTCGACGTGTCAGGAAATCTTTTGGTCACTTGTGGCTTTTGTTCAAGGTAGAATTAACTTGCTGTCAGTACATTATTATCTGTAAGACCCCTTTTAACCCCGTAATCCAATATCCACATACCCCTTTTAACCCCGTAATCCAATATCCACATACAAATTCTCCAGACTGACCTCCAGGCGTAACCTTTGGAGAATTAGTGGAGAGAATTTGATAAGAGATCAAAACATTTTCCCTTTGGTGATCATTTTATTAATTCTCATTCCTTTTCTCTTAATTATATATTTTTAAGATTGTTAGAGGAAAATTGATGGCGTTATATGTTGCTTGGATACCTTTTCAAGCCAAGGGCTTATAGCCGTGTGCTGTGCGCTTGGTACAGTGGGCTCAGTAATGACTATCGGTTCATAAAAATCAGCCACTCGGCGCGCGAGAAATATTTCAGTTATGGTAAAAAGTTTATGCAGAGTTACTGGATCATACTCAACGAGGTACATCAGTGCCTGATAGTTTTCAAATTTTGGTTTTATTTTTAGAATGGGACGTCTAGCCGTTGACAGATTTCTGATGGTTTATGATCTGAGAACTCTGAGGGCGTTGCCGCCTCTTCAGGTATGTTAGGGATCTTACGACGGTGACAGCAACGGAAAAACGTAAAACGCAACAGGTTTAGGAATCAAAAACAACACAGCTCTGCCATGCATCACGGTTTTCTGGAAATTGTTTTGGAAACTTTTCTCCGTCCTTGCCCAACTACGACGTGAAATTACTAAATAAGCCCTTTGCAGCTAGCCGTTCACGTGGTACAAAACCGCCATGCTGGAGAGCAAAAGCCTTTCTTACTAGGACAAGACAAACAAAGAAAATTACCATTTGAAATTATGTATGCCTTTTGTTTGTCTTTTCCCAGTGCGACTTTTGCCCTCCAATACGGCGATTTTTTATCACGTGAATGGCTAGCTGCAAAGGGCCTATTAAGTTAACTTGGGTATGGGAAGGGCAAGGCATCTCTGTCTGAATGCGGACGCGGTTCCAGCCAAATTTCCCTTCTATAAGTAACTGGGCGAATTGGAATAACCACGAAAAATTTTTAAAGGATGCGAAGTCTATTTTTCTGCGTTTTTTTTATTGGCGGCTATTAATCCTCGATCCTAAGGTCCCCCAAAAGGGTGCTTTTCCTGGGAACGATATATTTTTTTTAGCTTGTAACTGTATTAAAGGAACAGATACCTGGTTAAACGCATGCTCATTTATCAAAATGCTGTTTTTCTGCCGGGACATGCTGTATTGTCTATGCAAGCAATATGATCGTGTCATAATGTTGTCAAAGAACCAATCTGCGTACTCCCCTGGCAGTCACTTGCACTTGATCAACTTAAATATTTGCAAATAGCTGTAAATTAATCAACCATGGAATAAAAGCTTCGGGTCAACAATAAATTCAACGTTGGTAGTGATGGCATAATCCACTAATTTTTTCTGCGATTTGAGTACTCCTCCATCCTACTTCAGGTTACTCTGAAATACAATTCTACTTTGAAATACACTCTGAGATCGCTGACATACATGTGAGTGGGATTATTAACGGATAGAATTAATGATAAATTGGAAAGAAGTAATTTAATTAATGAGCATGCGCTTAAGCGTGAACCCCTCCCTTAAACTGTCTTGAGAACGTGGGTTTATTTATGATTCTACCGATAACTGCCAGAAAAATTTTCTTGAAACTAGATGGAATGTCTTTCTATTTAGATCGCTGTTGACCCGCTAATGTTGAAGTTTGTTCCTGCTCTAACATCAAGAGTAGCAGTAGTTTCTCAGGTAGGTGGTTCACAAAAAGAATATTATGGTGTGTGTTTCTTGGGGACGGAAGAAATTCTTTACAAGGGTTTTACACAATTCCTGGTAACTCAGTAGTTTGCATTGAGGCTATCATTCAATATGGACAGAGTAAAGCCCCCTGGAAAGGGATGCAACATTGTTGAATGTTACATGTTGCGTCCGTTTGCACACCCTGTTGCATGTTGTTGCGCGTTGTTGGGAGTTGTTGCGCAATATTTGAAACCGGTCAAACTTTTAGCTACGTGCAAACGGACGCAACAACTCCCAACTATGTTATGTCCGTTTGCACGGGGCTTAAGCAGAAAATCGGGGGAGACTTCTCCTCATACTGCCTGTCAAACATAACATATGAAGATATTAATTGATGTAATTAACGTTTGAGCATTTCATTCAATTTTTATCTTCTTTCTACAATTGAGGTCGTCGGAACAATCTGGGTTTATTTTATTATTCAAGGACAATTGTGCAGTCATAACGCTTTTCAACACACGTCAAATAAACGTTCGCGCGCGACTGAAAATTCGTCTTCCCAGTTCTCCCAGCCCGCGGAGAGTATCGTAAGGGTGAAGCCATAATTCATTTGAATTATCAACATTGTATTGGGTAGGGAGGGGGAGGGTTCACGATATTTAAAGGATAATACTAAAACGCATACAACTGCTGATATACTTTTAGTGTCCTAAGGTTGTCCATGATTGTACCTGCAGATGAAAGATGTATACAATCCTTCATTCCTTCCTTTATACTACTACATGACAAATTTCTGCAATTTGATTGGCTAAGAGCAGTGGTATTTCAGCTTAATTTGAAATACCTACATGTGAAAATTACAAACCTTTTGAGGGTAGTAGTATAAACAAATAATAGCATGATTTGTACATGATATTTGGCATAAATACCTCTCGTGAAATTTCAAAATTGTCTCAAATTTCACTTGCCTAAAGGCTCGTGAAATTACGTATAACAATTTTGAAATATCACTCGTGGTATTTATGCCAAATGTCAGTACAAATCATACTATTACCCATACTAATCCTGGTTTTGTCTGTCTGTTATTTTCCTCAGAATGGTCAGTTCCAGCTTCACGAACCAGGAGGCCTGGTCACGCAGTCATCAATGATGGTGTACCAAGTTAATACTCAAGGCACCTTATGTACAACATTTGACATTTCGGCGACTTGCCAGTCTATGGTGTTTGGCGACGCCGGAGGTATTGTATATTTATAATTGTGATAAAATATATCTTGACGGATTTTTTAAAACATTACCGCCAATTAGATATATTTCACCAGACCAAAAATCATCTCCAGAGTAGATACTATTAAAAGTAAGAGTGTAACCAAAGCTTTTTTCTCTTCTCCTCCTGTCTTCCCCCTTCACTTTTCCTTTTCCTTTGCTAGTGTGATTTTCGAGCTTATCAGGTGCAAAAAAACCCTACTGTGTGACTCTTTTTTCGCTCAAATGGCTGAAGATTTCCCTGGTTCGGTTTCAAAGAATCAGCTACAATCCTCGCCAAAAATCCTTGAAACACCCAACCCATGCACTTCTCTTTCCTTCTGCAATGTTGAGATATGATTGCAAAGTTACGTGGCTACAACAACATTGCGAAAAGGAGGACGTGGCGGGGGGCCGGGGGGGGGGGGGGGAAGGGAGGAAAAGAAGGCGCAATTTCCCAAAGGTGTGCAAGGGTTTGGTTGGGATTTGTAGGTTTAAAGAGAATTTAATTTTGTTTTTCATTTATTTTTTTTTTTTTTATTTTTTTTCGTGTTTGTATGGTATAAGGGGGGGGGGGGGGGGGGGGGGGGGGGGGGGGGGGGGAGAGGAGAGAAGGAAAGCGACATTTTCCAAAGTGTTTCAAGGTTTTTGTCTGGGATTTTAGATGTTAAATGCAGTTAATTTTTTATTTCAGTTAATTTTTATTTTTTCATTGTTTTTGGGCATGGTAGTGTATGCTAATGAATTTAAAGCAGAGGAAACAAAAATTAACTGAAATAAACAAAAAAATTGCAACATAGATATACAGTGAACTTTCGCCTTGTAAACACCTCGCTACCCCACTAATCGGGAAAACAACTTAATCTCCGGCATAAATGAAATACAGACGTTCGACTGAAATAAATGTTTTTTGTTTTCCAGGAAATACTCATCTTTGGGGAGAGACACAAGAAAAAGAAATAATCCACAATTTGTATTCAAGACCGACAGAGTTTGCTCATCCAGTAAGTTTCTGATCTTAAGCAATGCAAAAACTACAGGAAATGTAAATTTGTTTTAGATACTCACGAGAAAACTGGTTCGTTAGAAGGTAGCTGAATGGCAATGCACGCATGAGGCATGCACCCCGCACGCCCGTCTTCCGAGGCATTAGTGAACTGTTAGGTGAAGATCACGAAGAAACACGCACGTAATAGCCCTGTCACGTTTGTCACGCACAAGCGTTTTGCCGTCCTCTTCTTCATGCCGTCCTGTTGTGTAAACACACTATTAAGCAGCTAGGAGTATGGCTACTCTCCTCTAGATGGGATGCTAGTCAATCGTAAGGTTATGTCGCCGGTGCCCTTATGTACATTTTCGTGAAGAGAGATATTGTGGATCCAAGGTACTTGTTTACTGAAACACGCGACGGTAGGGCTTTAGCCTGTTCCAGGCGTATAACTTAACTCGCTCCCCACTTACCGCCGCGCTCTACTATCTGAACGCCTGGAACAGGCTAGTAAGGCTTGAACCCGGACCTCCTGATCTGAAGTTCGACTGTTCACCGCTCAACCACCACGCCTCCACCACGCCCCCCACAGTCGCTCTCGGAGTAGGTTCTTTAAATCAGATTGTGTTTTGCTATTTTTTTTTAGATTCCTCATCTTCCACCGCTGCCCATCGATGATTATACTGTTCCATTGTCTGCATTTCCTCTTCCGATGCCCAAGTAAGTAATCGACGTAATGATCACATTCTTAGCGAGAATCTGCCCTAATGCCAATGGTTTGACTGACCTATTGTATTACTTGTCACTCCCGTCCCGTATTTGGATTTTTTTACGTGATTCATCCGAGATTTCGACCAATGTGAAAACTGGCCCAGTGAGAAAAGGACCAGCAGTAAAAGTCCGTCCAGCCTAAGATTGATGTTCGTCTTATAGAGAGGTATGGGCCAGCAATAGGTGTCCGTTTTATTGAGGTGTCTGTCTTATAGAGGTGTCCGTTAAGAGAGAGTCGGCCATATAAGTTATGATATTTGAGGAATCAAAGAGTAAGAAAGTTTAAGATTCAAATTGGTTTGCGCGTTTGGGAACCGAAATTATAGAAGGTAAACCTCTTTCTCCACAGTGGACCGCTTCTTTCAGACTGGCCAGAAGAAAACATGGTTGCTGGAGACAGGTAAATAGTTTTTCATGTCTTCCTGAATCAGAAGTCTTGTAAGATGGTAAAAATTTGTTGTTACTATAGTCTCCCTCTTAGCCGTTTTTCCCTTGTCACGCAGAGGAGCGTTGCATGACGAGACGAATACGACTGCGTGGGAGACTAGTGTTACTAGTAACGATAAATAATTAAAATTTGAAATTCGCAGGCGTACTCCAGCAATTGAGCCTGAAATTCTCCGCACAATGGTCGTCAGGCATTTTATCGGTTATGCACCTAACCCTGGCAACAGGAAACGAAATCAGGTATGTTAATGCGTTCTCTTTTTAATCGGAAAGACGATGTGACGGCGGTAAAGCTGAAGATGGCGGCGCGCAGATCTAAAAACCCAGCTGAACAATTCCAGGGCCCAGTTGCTCGAAGCATGGTTAGTTTAATACCTTGAGAACGTATTGGTTTTGATACTGCTTAACCAATGGTTAAAGCTAACCATGCTTTGAGCAACTCAGCCCAGAGCGTCAAATTGGGAACCGCACGTCGGTTTCAGTCCCTTCCTCGGGGTTTCGCTTTCTCCTTGGTCGTTGCGTTGTCTTTGTTTAATCTGCCCTGTCTCGTCTCCAGGGCCTTCGTTACTCTTATCCAACGTAACGGTCAGGATCCCAGACCCTGTGCCGCCAGACTAACACATAAACTTTATTTTCACTCGAATTTTAGAGTAGCTAGCGAGCTAATATCTTTGAGCTGACCCCACTTGAAAATACATTAAATACATTATGAATGATAATAAATAATAATAATTAATAATAATAATAGTAAACACATAAAAGAAAATTTTATTTGCAATTTTAAGTATAAGTATGTATAAGCAAAAAGAATCTGCATAAAGGTAACGCCCTGTATTTTAGTCTTAAAGTTTGCAAAAAACTAGTACGAAAAAAGTCAGGCAGTGCATTCCATTGTTTAGCTGAAGAGTAAGAAAAGGAGATAAGACCATAAGTAGTTGTTTTAGGTTTACTAAGTGAAAGAATGTAGTTGCCGCGAAGATCAAAGGAAGAGGACCGGAGTGAAAACATATTCTTCATAGAAGCGAGAAGATGAGGAAATTCTGAACGCGCTTGTTACATAACGAAGTAGAGTTGACTTTTGAAAGAAGAGTGATGTATGGAGACGAGTAATTTCCAAGTGTAAATCCCTCTTTTATTTACTGCTTTAAGCTTATCCGCATCGCGCGCTCCACAAAAGTGTCAGACAGAAGAGCAATAAAAATGGGATTTTGGGGTTTCGGTCAAGTCTTTATAGTGACCTCCGCGTAAAGCCCTCCTCATGCCTTTGGTCTTCGGCCGAAGGTCTGTCGTCGACCAATACCGAAGCATCCCCTACACAATTGCAAGAGGTCCTGAAATTTGTGGCTTTCAACAGTAAAAGTGCCTTTGCTTGAAGCTGGTGTTTCGTTGTTTTTAGGAACATTTTCATAGGTTAACAAGCAACTTGTCTATCTTCTAGGTAGCTTACCCTGTTGTTAAAGATTCAGTAATGGTTTCTCCAGAAGAAGAAAATACTGTTCCAGATTCACCAATGAATCGAGGTACTGAAAGCGATTTTGCTCTTATAAACCTGTCACTGGACCCCCCCCCCCCCCCCCCCCCCCAAAACATAAGCCCCCAGGGGGGCCTTGGCCCTTGCCCTTTTTCGGGGGGGGGGGGTTCATTTTTTTTCGCTTCTCTTTTTGCCTGGGGGGGCGGGGGTGTGGGATATTGTGTTGTGAGCCCTTGTGCGCGCGGTTTCAGAGGATTACTGACAACTTGTATCTCTTTTGTGTAGCTTTACCTTTGTTGTAAAGTTTAGTAATTCGTTTTCCAAGAAAAAAAAATACTGTTCCACAATCCCCCAATAAACCGAGTTCTGGAAGGCGTTTTTCTCTTAAAAACCTGCCCCCTGGCCCCCCCCCCCCCCTCCCCCCGCTGAAACATGAGGCATCAGTGGGGCCTTGACTCTTTGCGTTGTTCGAGCGGTGGGGGATTAATTTTATTCGGTTCTTCTCTTGCCCGAGGGGATAGGGATTTAGTGAATTTAGTCTGCAGCCGTAAGAGAGATAGGGGTCTGGGACGAGAGCTGGAAAACGTGCTGGTTTTTTTTAACAGAGTCCTCAACGATGGATGAACGAAAGGTACAGAGAGAAGCTGCTGGATTTATTTATTATAAATGCTCATTGGTTCTTTTATTACTAAGGATATTATATATTTTCCTTTTGTTTTGGCAAAAATGTCTTGCAAATACCTGTAAATTCTCGTTGTCTTTGCTCTTTTGTTAGCCGCCTGATAAAAATGCCGGAAAAATAAAGGTATAGAAAAAAAAATTCAGTCACACATCTGAAGGTATGACTGTATCCCATGTATGTGGGGCATTATTCGTACATACGAACTACTTACCATTATTCAGAGAGTCGATACTTTACTATTTTTTTTTTTTTAGCTCTAATTTTAATGGTTATATGTTCTGTTTGGTGTTAGAAAGATTAAAAGATTATTTATCCTTTGGTGGGGATTTAAATGCTTTTTATTTATGTATATATTTTCACAGACGAAGATCCTGGAAGTATTATACCAAAACACTACAGACGAGTGGAGATACGATACTCAAAACTAGGTTCGTTATATTTGAAATTCTTCTGCAAGTAAAGTTTTATTGTTCTGTGATGCAGTTCTCAATTTGACTACAGTAGAAACCTGCGAGTAAGAACCTGTTAGGCTAAAATTTGCCAGTTAGGTCCCTTCTGTACAAGAACCTGTTCAGTTTAGCCTAAAATTGGAAATAGGTTCTTGTTTTCTAACATCTTTAGAACTTTCTGTACACTTGGGCAAATAATTAAGATAAGCCAGCTTTCAGGATCCTCTTTGGAGACACAGGTGCCTATATTACTCCAACTGCAATTGTAATGGTGCACTGGTTTTACCTAAGGAATGAGCTGAATGCCACTAAACACTCTTAGCTACAATGTATTTTTTCGTCAGGAAATAAGAGCTTATTTAAGATCCTGCATAGCTTAAATTTGTGCCATTTACGTAAGAACCTGTTTAGCCTAACTTGAGAAAATTCATGTTCTTAGTCGTGGGTTTTTACCGTATTTTCCGTTAGGTGTGGAAGACTTTGATTTCAAGCATTATAACAGGACGTCATTTGCTGGTTTAGAGACTCATATTCCTAATGCTTACTGCAATGCAATGCTTCAGGTAAGTAAAGAATCGCTCTTTTCGGTTATAAGCCCTTCCGGATATATCCCCCTCCCCCGTTGTTAAGCCCTCATTAAATCCCTTACGCAGTTGCATAAGCCCAGGGGTTAATAAGCGAAAGTTTACGGTATTCCAACAACTTCCCAAGACTACTCGTTTTAAAAGACCTGGGGTTTTGATGTTTACAATTATTACTAGGTTATTCACTGAAGAATCTCCTTGGAACCTTCTAGTAGCCCCTGATATTTTTAGCCATCACGGTACTCCTGTATTGGGATTTTATGGAGTGTTCTTTTTTAAAGTGCTTGGAGGGGAATAAGGAGTGAAGAATTTAATTTCCCGTGCTTTTGTAAATAGTTGTACCACAAACGTACCACCCTCTCTATAAATGTTTCATTAAACTCAGACCCCCTGAGACCTAAATAAAAAATCTAAGTCTTTGCGTTTTCTGTTTGCTGGTCTCTTCACTAAATACTGTGAGTTCCTCTGTGTTCCTTTTCAAGAATTTTTGAAGAAGGACTTCTGCTATTCCTCTCTCTCTCTTTTTGTCATTTGCGATACTACTGTGCCTATTTGTACCAAACAAATTGTGGTTTACTTTCTCCCTAGCTTTTTTACTTCGTGGAACCTTTGCGAGCTGGTTTCCAAAACCACTTGTGTCATCGTGAGTTCTGCTTGGCTTGTGAACTTGGCTTTTTGTTTCAAATGCTGGATATGTCATCTGGACAAACATGCCAGGTTTGTAGAACTACGATTATCTGTTACATAGCGCGACACGCGCAAATTAATCCTGTGGGCTACTTGTTTTAAAGAATTTTATATTTCTTCTGTTTTCGCAATTTATTTATGTCGACATCACTAGCCAGTCACAGGGGCTGGATTTAGCTTTTCATATGTTTTGTGGATGAACAAGGTGCTGTAGTCTAGTGTCAAGGAAGAAATAAAATCTACCCAATGCTACGCGCAGGAAAACCTGATGAAGATTGAAACATGAGCCCGATACCAGTTGCAGTAAAAGTTGGCCTTTTGATCTTGTACTCGCTACTGAGTAGAAACGATAAGGAACTGTTCGAACTAGCGATAATTTAATTTGTATACCATGACTACGTTTTGATTGACGTTCCCCTTTCTCTAGACCTATTGATGGCCGTTGTATTTGTGTGTGTGTTTTTTTGTTTTCCACAGGCCAACAACTTTCTTCGCGCCTTTCGCACCATTCCTGAGGCCGCAGCACTGGGTCTGGTATTAAACGACGTAGACGAGTCGTTTGGAAATGCTAACTTCCCTCGCTTGATTCAGAGTTGGTTTAGATTCGTACTTCAACAAATGCATCAGGTAATGGATTGTTTCCCTACTTTGGCCCCGTCAACTTTGTTCGGTCATGAGTTTTTAGGCTGCGTGCAAACAGACGCAACAACTCCCAACATTGTTGCGCGAACAATGTTGGGAGTTGTAAACAATGCGTAATGAGCGTACGCGACTCCTTGGAAGAGCTGTGCAAACGGATCCAACGTTGTTGCGCTACGCTTCGGCGATCACGGAACAAAAGAAATGTTGGGAGTTTTTGCCTGAAAAGTTTGACCGGTTTCAAACTTTGCGCAACAACATCCAGCAACATGAACAGGGTGTGCAAACGGACGCAACATGTAACATCCAACAATGTTGGGAGTTGTCAGCCAACAATGTTGCGTCCGTTTGCACGGGGCTTTACATGAGGCAGCTTTTGCATTGACAACGGCGACGGCAGCGCAAACATCACTTTTAACATGAATTCTTTTTTTGTCAAACGCTGTCGCGTTTATGCCAATTCGCTGAAAATGCCAAATATAGGCGAATTTCCCTGGAGTTGATTTCTTGGCGACCACGCTTAGTTTTAGAAAGAGAGAGAAAAATTCGTCGTCGCTTGTTTACGTCTTCCAAAAAACGTGAAATTAGGCATTTTCACGTCGTAGTCGTGTAGTGACGGCAAAGAAATGTAAAAAAGCGTGCACGTGCAAAGTTGTTGTTTTGCCAATCTAAAGGGCTGTTTACATTGAGGGAGGAAGATCCTAGTACCTGGAAGATCTTAGAAGGCGGAACAATTTCTCGTTGGGTTTAGGCTACGTGCAAACGGGCGCAACAATGTAAGCCAACAATGTTGCGTCCGTTTGCACGGGGCTAAAAGTTTGACTGGTTTCAAACTTTGCGAAACAACGCGCAACAACATGCAACAGGGTGTGCAAACGGACGCAACATGTAACATCCAGCAATGTTGGGAGTTGTTGGTCAACGATGATGCGTCGGTTTGCACGCAGCCTTACATGCAGAAATTTCGATCCGTACGGGTTATTACCATGCAAGTAGAAAAGGAATTAAAGGAGGCGACCAACAAAAACGAAAAAGGCAATTTTGGGCCCATCGGCTCTCTTTACTGGCGTCAATAAATACCTTTCAGCAAAATTATCAAAATTGTCATTTCTTAGTAACGCCAAACGAAACGGTCGGCCTTGATTGCCGTGGTTACCCACTGAACGACCCCCGTGTTGTCCCTAGTATTAGGATCTTCCTAGCGAAGGCAGTTAACATGGAGCAAGGATCTTCCTAGTACCAGGATCTTTCTACCCCTCAGCTTGGAAGATCCTAGCGCTAGGGACAAGTACAACCCTTTGCATATAAATCGAGTACGGAAAACATATGACGCTAGGATGATCCAACCTCTAGGATCTTCCTGGTGATTGGATCTTTCTGCCTCCATGTAAACAGCCCCTAAACCTATTGGATAATTGACGTTCTCGTTGCCGTCATCGTCGTCGTTGCTCAAGCTCCCCATGTTAGGGTGAAGGACTTCTTATTGATGATTTCATCGTAGCAAAGCTATCACAAATAAGAAAAAAAATCAGTAGGTTAATATTTCGTCCTATTGTTCATACATGTTTTTGTATTTAAATAAAGACTCTTTGTCTCGTTAAGAATAATTATTCATTAAACATTACGCCCAATTTAGTCCTGATGCATATATCGGGAGGTATTTTGTTTAAGCTGCTGACGAAGCACTTTGAAATAAGCTTAACATGGCAAACTAAAATGGCAAATACCTTTAGTAGATATAAGAAAATAAAGTTTCAGTCATTCTTTCTTTTGTCAACTTCTCCTGATTTGTCTTTAGGATACCCTCGAACCACCAGCCTCTTCAGAGAGAGAAAATGAAGACTCGAAAAATCCGTAAGTATTGACTTAATTCTAACTTATCAAGCACAAGAGGGTTCCGAAACATCGTAAAATGATTGAAAAATGAGAGTTGTTGCAAACTGGCCGAAACTTTGTTTTGATAGCTGTCGAAAAGCTTCTCCCAAATTTTTATACCCTTCATCATAATGCTGAAAGCTTTCGTAGAAAAGTCAGAGGAAAACCGGAAAGCACGTAGCAGTTGTCCTTTGTTGTAGCAATTCTGTACATGTATTTTTGCATACCAAGAGGTGAAGAATAAGTAAAACCCAACTACATTTCTTTTTGACAAATGCATCCTGAAGACCAGCTGAAGACCTGCTGAAGACATATTGATCCTTGAGTCACACTTTGACTTGACTAAAAGGAAAGTTTTTCTTAGAATCTTGCACTGTGATTGTTATTCCTGAGACGGAAGTATTTAATGGGATTATGCTATTTTCTATGCGTATTCTTGAGCCAGCTCTAGAGAGTTGAAATGACCCCAAGTGTATTCATCTAGCAAATTCCACAATTTAAGGACGGTGCCCACTATTGTTACTGCAGACATTTTCTGCGCATGTCAAGGTAGTCGCGCGCGACGCGAAAGGAATGCGCAACACGCAGGACACGCGGACTGGCTTTGTCTTCCGTAAGTCTGGGAGGTTCTAATTATTTCTTGTGGAAAAGATGCGTCGTTTTTCAACAGATGAAAAATAATTTCTATTTACCTTGTCAGTTCTTTGAAAACCGAAGAAGTATGCGCATGTTGCTATTTCTGCCGTATGATAGATCTGACTGAACATTTTGTAGACAAACAAAAGTCAGTTCTAAAACATTAAAACTTACTCCTTCAAGATGTTACGCTTGGAGCTTGGGTATTAAAAAATCCCTTTATGGGCAAGGATCTGTAAATCAGAAGGAAAAAAGCTCTAAGTCCTCCGCTTAATCGAGAAACTGCAAGCTTACCTTTCACTCGCGTCCTTCGCGTTTTATCGTCCAATCGGCTATAAACACTTTTCCGAACATTTCTTTAATTTTGTTAGATTTTACGTTATTATTCGCCAGAAGATAGATTTGAAGCGTTCAAGTACATACAGATGTCCCTTTTATTGAGAGTCCGAGGCTTTTATTTGTTGAACAAACAAGAAAAAACTATCACAAGATTGTTTGGATTGCTGAGATCTTAGCTTCACAAATAGTTGCGGACCGTAAAGGAGACGCTATAATCGTGAAAAAAATGACAAAAAAATTGTCATACTTTTTACTATTATCATTGTTATTTGCATTTTGGCATTACTAAGCATTGAAATTATTGACTCATTGGCAGCTTGTCGTGTAGATAGTATTTCTTAAGGTTCTATTTCACGCCACACATAATCTGGACATTTATACATAGCTGCCATTTGGCTGTTTACAAACTAAAGATGGAAGGTAAAATAAAGTATTTCCATTCTAAGACTTTCTTAGGTTTAACAGACACTGTTAAGTCTAAAATTAACATTTAGAAACGAAAAATAGTGAATGATCATGATGACACAGAATGCTACAGTAAAAAAAATGAAAACGAAATATATAAAATGATCATTATAGCCCAGTGCATATATGAGGGTGCATAAACGCATTCGGTACAACTACTTTCACACTATACAGTTTTTTTAAAAGAGAGCTCATGTATGGAACTTGAGTCAATGCAAATCATTTATGCCATATGACACTTGTGGCAAAGCCCGAAAGAGATAGCGCAAAGCACAGATATAAGTTTATTGAATGTATGCAAGTTTAATAACATATTCGATCGAGGTACCCGGTAAAATGATAAAAAAGCGATGAAGGTTTACAATCCATATTACATCTACAGTTCAAAAAATCTTGAGGACATGTGCAGGTAAGCAAACGATTGAAGGAGTACCTGTCTTAGAGTCCCTGTCGACTATTTTCCACTACAGTAGAGTAGTTTGTTTACAGCACCAGCCGTGGATCTTGAGCTTGCCATACTACTCTATGTGCGCTGCAAGTAATCTCTAATACCTTGGAGATTGCTCTTCTCCAAAAATTTTTGTTAAATGTTTGAGACGGAGAAGCTCCAGTTGAATGAAATAGTATAATTTGTTTTCCTTATAGTCCATGAAATGTCCTGCTTCACTTTCTGTTTTTGCTCTGATCCTCCATGTGTTGTTGTTTTATCTGACTGTTAGCCATTGTGGATATCCCAGAGTACTCCGCGTTGAGTGAAGCAATAGTGAAACTGACCGGGGAGGGGATGAGGAAAATTGTAAATAACCACCAAAGCGATTAAGTTAAAGTCGAAACCAACCAATTTAACTTCTAAAAGCGCGCGGTAATCCCTACTTTTTATCTTACCAAATGAAAGTTATAAGCCTACTCAGCAAACGATCAATTTTTGGTTCGGGGAAAATGTCGTTTACACTATTTTTAAGGCAAACGCGTGGAGAGGGGTAACTGCTGATAACTTCCCAGTTGTGCTGATATTTTAAAAAAAGACGTATGAAGAGCAGTTGTTATGTTATCATTTGTTGCTGATTTTGAAACCTTGTTACAATTATCATTGCATTTGTGCCAGTTCACGTGTACAGTCTGAAATTTTGGGAAAAAATAACTTTTTATCATTTTTCTATAAAATGCCCATTCAGCGTTTTTCTGCATATTGAAGCGCATGCAGTTATATCTGAAAAATGCGTGGTTACCCCCAGTTTTCTTTTTGGATTTCAATAGCCCCTGATATGATCTACTTGTCTCACATAGTCATTATCTGGGAAAAAATACTTCCCATTAGTGGGCACCGTCCTTAAAGTGAGCTGTTCTTTGCTTTATTTCAATTGTTTTTCGTTTATGTTCTTGTAACCAGAACTGGTAAATCTCAACAGTCTTCAATAATCCAGCGTTTATTTGGCTCTGATGTTGAGCTTCTGAGTCGCTGCCGCTGTGGCAAAGAAACTAAAAGAGTGTCAAACACATTACTGTTCAATCTGGAATATCCTGAAATGCCTGAAGGTGAGATAAAGGTAGCACAAATTTTAAATAGATCCTTGTTTATATTCTTGGACGTCTCAGTAGTTAATGATCCGTTGGAAAGTAAATTATGGCCCATTCACACCAACTAAAGATGTTTAATTAAGCTAGGTTTTCAATAATGAAAAACTGTGACAGAAAACCAGAACACAGGCTTTTACACATAATTCAAATGAACTTAAACACGTTACGTAACTGCATTAAATTTTCGATCGCACAGAGTACAGTAGGCAGCTCTTATAAAGCAGACACATTTAAGCCGTGTTTAACTTAACAGCTTTTAAACATGTTTAACACTGGCTTTGGTGTGAACGGGGCTTTAGTTTGATGGAAACTGAAGACTTCAGGTGCATGACGGTTTACATGCTTAATCGATTGTTCAAAAATGTAAAATAAAGAAGTAAGGTTATTAAAAATGTTAGAGGAGGGTTTTTGCTCAATACAAGACGTTTCCGATTGACTCTATTGTTGCCTTCTACTGGGAAACCCAGATTTAGATTTTGACTGATCTGGATTTAACGCGAAATCCGGAAACGGATTTCACCTCCTAGAAATCCGTCGTCAGGGTGGATTTCAATTAAGAAATCCAAATCCGGATTTCATGGATTTCCTTTTTACCGTTCGATTGGAAAATTCGGAAAAGGATTTTCAAAACTGTTCTCGCGAACAGCGGTCTTCTTTTTGCTAATTATACGCGCGCGTGCAAGACCGCTGTTCTTAAGGGTAGTTTTTAAATCCTTTTTTGGATTTCCCAATCGAACGGTGAAAAGGAAATCCAAAAACAGATTTCTCAGCGCTGAAATCCGTTTTTGGATTTCGCGTTCGATGGCAAATCTGGATTTTAAAATCTAAATCCAGATTTCCCAGTCGAACGCACCCTATAGTTTTAGTTGACAGGATCTTTGGATTGTGAAATCCTGTAACGTAGGACCCCGCTTCACTTAACTCGTTACTGCACAGCTTCCTTGTAGGTGTTACAAAATCGTTTTACGATTTTTCTCTCCTAAATTCCTATAGATAAAATACAACAACCAGTGAGTTTTGAGTCAGTACTTCTTGCGAGTATGTGTCGGGAGCAAAGCATGCAAGCTTGGTGTGAACAGTGCTCCAGATATCAACCTACCGTAAGTAAAGGAACATTGTGCATGAACTTTGGCTCCGTCAATAAACGTACCCGCCTAAACTTGATAACCTGAGATCACGCGCCATTATCGTCTGGCGCAACCAGGTAAGAGAGATAAAAGATGCTTTTAAAATACTTTGGCTTGAACTCAGGTTAAAATTTGAAAGTAGGGCTTGTTTTCTTGTAGTTGGGTTCTCTCCATGGACTCGAGAATTTGCAAGAATTCATCGCCACTAAATGTGCACCAGCCTTGCACCCAGTCGTCCTCCGATAGCACGAACTGGCCTGGGGAGGAAACTGGATGTGCTATATTTTGTTTAAGAGCTACCCGAGGTCTATTAGTAGACAGGACTTGATGATGATGATTCTCTATATTGTTTTGTAACTGACCTGTACCTGCAATTCAGCTGTAAGCTGCAAAAGGTGTCAATGAACAAAGTTATTTATTCATTCACTACATTTTCAAAAAGTTTTAAAAATACTTTCAACTGACGCAATTATATTTTAGCTTCATAACCGTTTCTACCTTTTGTCATGCAGGTGCAAACGCGTAAAGTTAAAAAGCTACCAGATATCCTGGCGTTCAACTGTGGCATGGAGCATGCAAAGGAAGTTGATGTCTGGAAAATGCAACAGCAGGTTAGGAGACGTGTACATATAAGCTTGCAACCCATATTGAGTCAGCTATTTTGCTCCCCTTATTTTCTGTGGAAGGGAACAGCATCAAGTGAAGACTAGAAAGGGACACATGAGTGTCCACTTTCCCTGACTGTACTTCATTTAGACTCAGGCAGACTTTTTGCGAGTGACCAACGTAACAGAAAAGCGAGTGACCTGCGTATGGCGTGACAAGATTGCCTTAAAGTGAACTATGTCACGACATCTCTCCTTAGTTACTAGATCCACCGCCCAAAGGTGAAGACAAACCCACAGTGCAGTCATCAACTAAGGCTTGCAGATATGGTGATGCGTGCACAAGACCTGACTGCAAGTTTAGGCACGAGAGAGATGTTAACGAGGAAGGGTATGAACGGGTTTATTTTAAAGCAAGACTAGATGCATCCTCATAATCAATATCAACGCCTTGTGTTCGGCCACATGTAGATGGCAGGGATAAACTTGGCCTAAAACGTAAAATTCCTCGGCGAATTCAGGATGTAAAGGGATATTTAGTTGAGGAGATATTCTTCAAATAGCAGTTGTCATTCGTTGAGTTGAATTTTTGTTGTTCTTGCTATGTTTGTAGGCAGACTTTCGGCTATTTTTTCTTCGCATTTTCCGCCATTTTCTCCTTGTCTACCAGAACAACTGAGCTAACGCAAACTTGTCCCCAGGGCCTCTCGGTTGCCGTTTTATTTTTTGGTGATAGCCTGAACTATTGATGTATTGATGCAAATGTCTTCTAAATTTGGTCAACGCTAGCTCGTTATGACGAATTTGCTAGGGCATTGCAGCCAATGAAAACAGAAAATATTTTGAATTGACAATAATGTGTGATACCCTCTTGAAATAAACTGGATTGCTATCATTGAATTTTACTGATAAGAAAGCACTAAAATTATCATGTCGCTGGCGCCTTAATTTCAGTTTTGGTTTGGTCTCTTTCAGGCGAATTGACGTTCAGGAGGAAGAGGAAGTCAATGGATGGGTTCCACTCGCAATAAAAATATCAACAGACTCCACTGGAATGCGTATTACAAAGATTGATGAGGTAAGGTTGCTGTTTTCTTACTGTTATTTTATTCGCTTTCTTCATTGTACTTTGTATCACAAAAGTTAGCAGGCTTATTTCCGTTGAAGGAGGTGAAGCCCTCTCCCGATTGCTGAATGATAAAATTCCTAACATTTGATAACTGATTTGTGACTTTCCAGCTAAAACTCGCTGTAGACTGACGACGGCTACCAGTTCGCGCAAAAAAATGACATTGGTTCGCGTGCGTGCACTACTTCTAAAGCTCTCTATTCACGTGGTACAAAACCACCACGCTTAAGAGCAAGAGAAGCACTTGTAGAAGACAACAAAGGATATTATCATTTTAAATGATTTAAGCCATCTGATTGTCTTGTCCCAGTGCGTCCCTCCGTAGTCAGTATTGCGGTTTTGTACCACGTGAATGACTAACTGTAAAGGACCTATAAGTGCACTAGTGTTGGAATGTGCTCCAGCTATTCGCTCGCTTCATGATGGGGTACAGGAATCTGATTTACGTTTTGGTCTTTATTCTTCTATGACTTATGCTAACAATCTTAATCTTCATCTTCTTACTCTTTTTCTCTACTCAATCCTTACTAAGCGGTTCAAGTATAGTAAAGATTTTTATCAGGTAGCCAAAAGCTGGACATGATTGGGTCAGTTGACCTTGGGAATTAAAACAAGGTTATCTCGGTGTGGGTAATATTTTGATATTATTGAACTTGCATGGTTTCGATCGGCAAAAAGCTCAGTACAAACCAATGAAAACCTGAAAGGTTTGTTAACAAACCCAAACAGGAACTTGAACAATACTAATCAACCAAGGTCAGCTCTAACATCACAAACACGACCACCCATGAAAAAACAAAAACATCTGACAATGGCAAGCGAAGAATATTCCTAAAATGGCATTAAGTACTGTAAATTCGCGAGCTAAGCATAAATTCAAGCACACGTAAAAACAAAAGATCAAAACAGGAAAAAACCTATGTGGACAAAATCAGGACTAACCTTGACCCACTTAATGAAAGAAAAACGAAACTTAACAGAAAATACAAATCTTAAAAATAACTTTCAAAATACTTCACAACACTAGGAAGCATTTAGTCGAACACTTTTGCATTTTTACTCATGCCCCTTGAACTGCTAAGCGTCTTATTTTTAAGACTTAAAAGTCTTATTATTTCAAATTGAGTTTGTCATATTGTTTGCGAATTGCTAAGGAATATGTCACACATAGGAAGGACTTTCAGGATATGTAGACCTTTAGAGGTTGTTGAAGTAATTTTTTGCACTCGCTAAAAATCAATTTATCAATCAGCCTCTAAGAGATTCAGTGTAAAAGTTTGTTTTTTTAAGTGATCCAAATCACTGTTGTGGTAGATCTACTGGTCTATAGATTTCCATTTTCTTTTCTTCTTGAATTCTTGATGTGTTTAAGGACTTAATACGGTTGCTCAACTAACCGTGTTTTAAGCGCATTTAAATTTGTCGAACCTTCACCTCTAAACATTGCTTGCTGTAAGTTAACAATGCCAGGATGGCTTACAACCCAGGCTAGAGCAACGTTTACGTGTATCGACTTAAAACAGAAGCCTTACATGAACAGTAAAACATTGCAGTTCCATTGAGTTCTAAGTGAGACTTCGTTTAAATAACCGGCCCTAAGAGTTTTTGTGTCTTTGTCCTCAGAATCAAAAAGTAAAATGTTCAGAAAACGAAGTGGTGTACGATCTGTTAGCCACGGTGGGTCATGTGCAGGACCTCAAGTCTGGCGGAAACTTGGTGGCACATATTCACGTTGGTACAACATATCACAGCCGAAAGGAGGTATGTGTTTAGGGGCGGAACTAGCAGTGTTTGTCCCCTGCTAGAAGCCGCATACCATGGAAAAGAGGCCTCCGCTTGCAGGGAAGTTGGACTGCGGTACCACGCGTTGCACATATGCGAGCGGCGAATTTCAATTTTCCCTCCCTTAAATTGTGTAAGCGTCTACGAACCTTTCACGGGACAAAACCGTTCTAAATTGATGGGAGTACCGATCTCCTCCCTTTGTTGAGCAGACATATCGTGCTTCCCGTCTTTGGAACGGAAAGAACCTGCCCGGCCAGACATATGGCGTCAATTTGTTAAATATAGTAATTAGCTCAGGAGAACTCTGCTTCTCTTTTTCAGGGTGTCACCTGTAGTCAGTGGTACTTGTTTAACGATTTTGCCATCACCCCGATTTCGCCGGTAAGTTAACTTTAGAAAGTAGTATTCAGTTTCTTATAATCACGCTATCATAAGTCGTACTCTACAGTTGATTTCCTATTGTAATGTTTCAGAACGATGCTGTTCATTACTCGTTGGATTGGAAAATACCGTGTGCCGTTGTGTTTACACGCAGAGATATCAACAGCCGTCACGAAACCACAAGTAAGTAGATGGCCAATCGCCTTGTTTAGGTTTATTTCCTGCGGATTTTTATGTCAGAGGAAGAAACGAACTCTTCTACCAAGGAACATCAGTCTCCCGTCACCACTGATTTTTTAAAAAAAAAAAAAAAAAAAAATTGACATTTGAAGAAAGTGGATTTGGATGGATTTGGTGAATTAGCCTTTTTTCAGGTTTGACGCCCTCAGTAAAGTCTTCATCGTAGACACCACTCTGTAAAACGGATGCCGGAATAATTTATTCTGACGTATTTAGCAATTTTACCGTGTTTGTTTGCATCAAGCCTTTTTACACTTGCCTGATTAAGTTCGTTGCACGGCTGCCTGGTAACTCAGCTGGGAGACGCCGTTTTGGATTGCTAAAGTAGTGTTCTGCACATGGGCAGATGGTAAAACCTCTCACAAAAATTAAAATTCAATCGGGTTCATCAGTTCCGTTTGAACGAAGCAAAAGACTCAATTCAAGGACCTCAATTCAAATTAGTTCGGATGAAATACCGTTCACCTTAGCAGCAGAGCCTTTCTTTGGCTTGCTTGATTTGGCGCACTCGAGAAACACTCTGCATAAATAGAGTCAGATCTCTGTTGAGCATGCGCTGCATGTTTTTGGGGTACAGTTTCTAACCCAGGCCTACAATGGAGGCCAAAATTCTTAGGACAATTAACACGATCTGCCTTAATTTTTCCCCCTTTCCCCCTCGCCCCCAAGCAATGTTTTAGTTTGTGCACCCCTGTACACTTTGCCCTGTCCTAAAAGTGTTTGTTCATCCCAACATTGTTGGAGGTGGGAGGGGAGGGCCACTTGCGGTATCCAAGTGTTTAAAGAAGTGCATATTATGCTACATCTGAATAGTTGATAAGTTAAGGATGTGGAAGGAAGGTTTTCCATAACCGTTCCAAGGATTTTTGTCCTCCATTGTAGGATTTCTTTACAAAAGAGCGTAGTAGCTGATGCTCACGAGTGCTTTTTGTTAACTAGTCAACCAGAGAATTGATGACGGTGTACTTTACCAAGACGTGTCTCTGGTTAGGAGGGGAAGTGTGTCCCGGGAATTTACCCCTCTGGGCGTTGACGAGCTGCCTAACGAAGGAGATCTCGTAGGATTAGACGCTGAGTTCGTAACTTTGAATCAGGTGAGAAGTATTATCTACTGATCTTGCCTTGGCGTTTCCAGTGTGTATTATTTTGCTCCAAAGTACCCCCTCATAAAGTGGCCAACCTGGTACTCATCAGAACGTGTGTTTCAGCTGTCCTCCACAGAGGCTGCAATTGGTGTAGGTACCAAGGAAGTAATGAAAGATCTCAAATACCCAAAGACTTCTTGTCACATTTGTTTAGAAGTTTTTCTCCAAATGACTCACTTTTTCCACTTACATCAAAAACCACATAGGGACTTTTCGATACGACATACGGAGACGCCAATGAAATCGTGACTAAATCAATGCAGAAAAATACACCTCGCTAACTTTTTTTATCCCAAGTCACCCAATTTACTTAGAGAAGAAAAATTCGTTTGGAACTGAATGAAGAGAGGGGACCACGTCCAAGTTCAGACAGAGATAGTAACATTTATCGCTTAACCCGGTTGCCGTTATCAAGACAAGTAAACTGTAAATTTAGTCGTTTCACGTAGTGGTTGTGCAGGGACAGCAAAGAAATTTGGAAAAGGGAGCGTAATGCTCGTGCAGGCGAGTTGTTTTCCTTCCTAAAGCTATTGTGTTTTAGGCGTTCCCGTTGCCGTCGCCGCCTTAGTTTCGTAAAGTACCTATATATCAATGCCCGCGGCCTTCGAGACTTTGTCAATTTACTGATCGATTTATTGACTTATGTTGTATTTAATGAGAACAATCTGACACACTTTTTTCATGTTATTTTTACCAGGAGGAAGCTGAGATCAGGAGCGATGGTACGCGGTCTACAATAAAACCTAGTCAAATGAGCGTGGCACGAGTTACTGTTGTCCGTGGGTAAGATAACAGCTAGATTAAGGAATGCCTTAAACTGCCGCATTTAAGCCACCCACCCCCCCCCCGCCCAACCCTATAAGCCCCCCAGTTATAGACCCATCTACCCGTAAACAAAAGCACCCCCCGCCCCCCTTGGATCTAGCCTCACATCTAGCTTTTCTTGCATTCGATTTATTATGACGTTTTGAAGCTTGGCTTAAGACCAGTAAATGCAAAACATATTTTGGGCAGTACTGCTATAGCTTGCGCCTTTTCTATTCCGGTTATAAGCCCCACTGGATATAAGCTCCTCCGTTTATAAGCCTTCCTAAAACCCCTTAGGAAGATGTATAAGCCCAGTGCTTATAAACGGCAGTTTAAGGTATTTTTACGTATAATATGGTATTTTTCGTATCCTGCATTTCGTGTTTTACCTCAGCTGGTTTTGAAACGGATTCGAATTTAAAAACCTTACTTTTTGGCGTTGTTATTTTATAGTGAAGGACCGTTGGCTGGGGTACCATTTATAGATGATTACATTTCAACTACAGAACAAGTAAGTGAGATCTGTGAAACTTACTAGTCTCGCCGCCGTATAGCCTAATCTATCATTAAAATCGTATTAGAATCGAAAAACTTGTTGCCTCTGCAAATATCTACATGTAGATGTACTTGTAACGTTCATTATGTTATCTGTGGAGTTTTTTAGGAGGAGCCATCTACAATACCAGCACTGTTACTGACAGGCCATATTGTTAAGGAGCCGTTACTTATATTAGAATATTAGTGAGGTTAATCGTCCACTTTGCTAAAAATCTTATTGTATTATTTTCAAAACCATGCAAACCTCGCCCTTGAATGTAAATGCGGAAACCTAAAAGAGCCAATATTACGGACCCGAAAAGCTGCCACAGAGAAACAGGCCTTTTGCTCAGAGACTTTTGGCGGGAAACGGTTTTTATTGTTAGATGTCATGTGACTTCGAAGGAACCAAAACGATAGAGCGCTTTTGGGGAAAACATTCCTGCTACTGTAAAACACTGTTTAATGCCACTTTTTACTTATTTTAGCCTCTAAACAGGGACTCTTTTTTTCTTAATCTATCGAGCGAAAAACATTTAGATTTGGGCGCGAGAGTGGAGATGCCGTTTCTCGCGTGCCGCGGCCTCGTCGCCGCTTGCGTGTGACATGTTTCACTACACTAATTTGAAGGAAGATAATAAATTGTTCGTGGTCGTTTGACAATCACAGTGCATTGTATGCATATGTTTTCTTGCTGCCGTTTCTTTGTTCCAGGTCGTTGATTATCTTACAAAGTTTTCCGGCATAAAACCGGGCGACTTAGACGCCACAATGTCATCCAAGCATCTCACAACTCTCAAAACAACTTATCGCAAACTACGAGCATTAGTAGCCAGGAAAGTGAAGTTTGTTGGTCACGGGCTGAAGAAGGATTTCAGAGTTATAAATATTCTGGTAGGTGGCCTGCTTTTTTTACTTAAACGGAATCCGATAGATTATCACACTCTATTAAGAGCTAAGCTTCCGTACTTTTGTAGACTGAATTAAAAACTATGATAGAATAACCACTTTTCCAGGTTGTTTGATGGGTTCTTTTAAAAATGTGATGTGATGCGTAGTTACTCGTTAAGGTGTCAAAGAAGCAATCATTTGGAGTTTTAAAATCCTAATTGGCAAGAAAATCTAGAACACCTGGCCCACATTTTTGAAAGCAAAGCGTTGGCTTTGTAAGGGTCCTGTACACTGCCTTCGTGTTTTCTGGAAAAAATCTTTGGACTTTTCGTTCCTTTTAAGTGTGTCTCTGGTCCTTTTAAAAGAATTGCTCTCATTTGGGCCTGTTCAAATTGATTTTGTTGTCCTGCTCAAGTTCTTCATCGATCTCATATAAGAGCGATGACGTCACAATCAATCCAAGGATCTTGGCCCCTCGCGTTTTCTAAGAATTAATCGTAGTGACGAAATAATTTCTCGATTGCGTGACGGCTCTAAGTATAACACGTTTTCTCTCTTTTTTTAATAGGTACCAAAAGAACAGGTATTCGACACAGTAGAACTATTTCATCTTCCCCGTCAGAGATACATTTCTCTCCGATTTCTCGCGTGGTATTTCTTAGGTAACCTTTTTCTTCTCCTGTACTTTGGTCTCCCGTAGTTCTTCTTTTCACCAATTACACATACAGTTGCAACCTCGGTATTACGAACCCCTCCCTTTACATGTCATAACAAACAGTCCGGAATAACGAAGGGAGTTTTTCACACAACCGTGGTTATTGTAAAATATTTGGCAACATACCACTCCTTCCCCTCCCCATGGAATAAACATTTTCCAGTTTCTTGACTCCGTCGTTATATCGAGGTTCAACTTTATGCAGTGTGGTGTGTAATTATATTGATTGATTACGGAACTGAATTGCATTCTCGTTCCCAGAGCCCCCTGTCCCTCTCAGCCGGCAGGGGCCTCCGCGCGAGGACATAAACTGAATAACTGAGACGTAAACCTTTCTATTCAATAATTCAATTTAATCTTTTTTATTGTCATTTTAGGTTTAACCATCCAGTCAGAAACTCACGACAGCACTGAAGATGCAAACACAGCTCTACAACTTTATAGGAAATACGAAGAGTTAAATACCAAAGGCGAGTTTCGAAAGGTTTTAAGACAGCTTTATGAGGATGGCAGAAAGAGTGGATGGAAAGTGGGGGAGCCGGCTACCACAGAGTGAGGATACTTATTTAAAAACGTGCTCCAAAGTATCGTAAACGTTCGATCGCGGTCACATAATCATCGCCCAAAGTACAAAGAAATGTGGAAACCGTCTCACAAGATCTCATCAAGGATATCTTATTTGTAGAGCTTTGCCTCTCTATCATTACTGAAACGTTTTCCAGCATAGCTTAAAAGAACGACGTAAGTTTCAACATGTTTCAGAGTGCTTAGAAAGATGGATGCCCTTAACACACTTGTACAGCATAACTTTGCCTGTCTTTCTCTTCATCATTAAAAGAACGTTTTCGTAACTCGAACAACACGTACATGTGGTTTTAGAATTTTGCATTGCGGTTACGCGAGCTAAAAGGAACATTCGCGCGCCCGATAAAAAGGTCTGCAATACATGCTAAGTATAAATCAAAATCAACCTCTTTGAGCTGACAACTCGTTAACTAGACTCTGCTTTCTACTTGTAAAAATGTAAATTAATTCTTAGTCCCTTAAGGTGACTCGACCCAGTTTTTTTGGGAGGGTACCATCCTACTTTGAAGCTCTCTGGTATCCCCACCTTTACTTTTATCGTAAGTCTAACACATAGAATGGATAACATATAGATCAATCTACAATATAACATAAAATTTTTGGCGATCGGAGTAAATGTCACGTGGTTATAATGCCACGCCCCTTTGAGGTCTGAGTCGAAAATCTGCTGTTGCCGGCATTTTTTCGTGAAAATCTCTCGGCTACACATAGTGCGCATTAGTGCCTTGCGCTGAACAGAGTTTCACCAAAATCGCAAAGACCCAATTCGAGAAATTCAGCGGTTTCCAAATTTAGGTCATAATTTATGCGAAAATGATAAGCAAACTTTACACGGATTATATCTAATAAACTATGAGATTCATCTCTTTATTTTGGGCATCGTTATAACAGATGGGTCCTTGCAAGTCAGCAAAACGCTTTAGGGCCTTGTAAATGCGCGCGATTTCGAGCAAAGCAAACATATAGAAATTATAGTTTTCGCTATTTGTTGACGTTTGTCAGCGTTTAAGAGTCCTTCTCACGAAAAAAGCATTTTCTTAAAAATTCGTAGTTTTTTTTCCTTCAAATTTTTTCAGGGCCACAATTGATTAACTAACTACCCGGACTCTGAATTTCATGGTCATTGAAAAACTGTGACATTATCTTCTATAAGCCCAAACTTGAGTAAACATTGAAGATTTTTAGCGTTTTGGCTGAGTTTGTGCTTTGGGAGTTGTCTATTGTTTCTAGTCTGTCATTATACAGCATTCTTGTTCAGCACGCGTGCAATGACCACGCTTGGCTGACTTCCGAATGCACACCGAGATATTCCCGTCACGAGTTGGTTTAATTATTGGCTTGCATTAAACCTATGAAAAAATGATATTTTTGTAATAGTATGTAGATTTAGCGTGTAGCACTTCTTGATTTGTTTGCAAAGGCACAAGAATTGATTAAAAATTGTGAGTTAAACCTCTATGTATCACGCGATGGCCTGTCTCACTGTACCAAAATTATCATATCTCGGTAAGCATTCGGAAGTCAGCTAAGCGCGGTCATTGCACTCGTGCTGAACAAGAATGCTGTATCATGACAGACTAGAAACAATAGACAACTCCCAAAGCACAAACTCAGCCAAAACGCTAAAAATCTTCAATGTTTACTCAAGTTTGGGCTTATAGAAGGTAATGTCACAGTTTTTCAATGACCATGAAATTCAGAGTCCGGGTAGTTAGTTAATCAATTGTGGCCCTGAAAAAATTTGAAGGAAAAAAAACTACGAATTTTTAAGAAAATGCTTTTTTCATGAGAAGGACTCTTAAACGCTGACAAACCAGTCAACAAATAGCGAAAACTATAATTTCTATATGTTTGCTTTGCTCAAAATCGCGCGCATTTACAAGAGCCTAAAGCGTTTTGCTGACTTGCAAGGACCCATCTGTTATAACAATGCCCAAAATAAAGAGATGAATCTCTTAGTTTATTAGATAAAATCCGTGTAAAGTTTGCTTATCATTTTCGCATAAATTATGACCTAAATTTGGAAACCGCTGAATTTCTCGAATTTGGTCTTTGCGATTTTGGTGAAACTCTGTTCAGCGCAAGGCACTAATGCGCACTATATGTAACCGAGAGATTTTCACGAAAAAATGCCGGCAACAGCAGATTTTCGACTCAGACCTCAAAGGGGCGTGGCATTATAACCACGTGACATTTACTCCGATCGCCAAAAATTTTATGTTATTTTGTAGATTGATCTATAGGTTATCCATTCTATGTGTTAGACTTACGATAAAAGTAAAGGTGGGGATACCAGAGAACTTCAAAGTAGGATGGTACCCCCTCAAAAAAACTGGGTCGAGTCACCTTAAGGCTGGTTTTTACTAGCGACGGATCGGAGTCGGAGTCGTAATCAGAAGCGTCGAGCTTATGATCTGGTGAACACAGCGTTCCGATTCCGCTTACGACTCCGTCGCTTACGTTCGGGAGCGAAAACCAGATTGTCGGAGTCGGAAAAAAAAGCAGAAGAACCAAACCAATCACAAAGCGTGGGAACGTGCATTTTGATTGGCTTATCCTTCCGCTTCTGCTTCCGACTCCGACAATCTAGTTTTCACCAGATCATAGGCGGAACGTAAGCGACGGAGTCGTAAGCGGAGTCGGAAGAAAATGGAAACGTTCTGATTCTTCTGACTCCGATTTCGTCGCTAGTGAAAACCAGCCTTTAGAGGAATTGTCACGAACAAATTATTTTAGGAACGATCTTTTTAAAAATACTAAAATAAATTGTATTAGAAAGCCTTTCTCATTCAGTTATTACATCTAGATTACCCAGGGAATTTTGAAAGAAAGAATAAGAGTTAAATGCAAAGGGCGAGTTTCGAAAGACGGCAGAAAGAGGACGACAAAAAGAGCGATTGGAAAGGAGAGGAGATAGCCCGCGTAGCTGGTGGGATTTGCGGACAAGTGCCGTGGTTTTTGGCGGCGCTCGCAAAAATCCCTCCCCCTCTGGCTATAGCGGAGAGCACCACAGAGTGAAGATACTTATTTAAAAGCATAGTCCAAAGTAATTTTAAAAGAGAGAATAAGAGTGTTTTCAGCTGAGATTTGAATCGGACGCTTGGGTTGCCTGTGAACGGCCACATTTCCCGAAATCCCATGCGGTCATTGTTATCCTAAGAATGCGTGACGCACCGAGCAACGCTGTTTATATAGCTTCTAAGATGAGACACACTAAGAAAGTTTTTGTGCCTCTCAGAAAAATATCATGGCTTATTTTTGTTTTTCCTCTTTTATTATTGCAGTGTTCACTAGGTGAGTGAGTCAATCTGTTTTCAAAGTTCCGTTTTACGGGTTTCACTTCCGAAAATGGCGTCGTACAATTTAAGACTCAATTTCCTGTTCTCTTGCTTTGCAGGACAGCAAAAGGTTCACGTCTTTACAGCAACAGACTTCATGCTTTTTGATACCAACGATCTCCTTTATTTTGAGGTTCTACGGCCGAAAAATATTAGTTACATCTACAAAGTTAGGCCTGCAAAAGACTTCGGTGGCAAATTTGTAAGTAAGCTACAGTAAGTTGCTGTACCGTTACGTTGTAGCTCAAATTTCAAGCCTACAGGCTTGACAGCTGTTACAGCTGAGTACATTAAGCTAGTTTTTATCGAGACAATTTATATGGATGGTCCAATCCTCTCCCTAAGTATGTATAAGTGAAAAAGTTGCATTGATATTTATGTCATGTTTTTCAATTCGTGGTAAAACAGTGGTCCTTAAAAAGTCTTAGTGTCCCCGATTAGTAGGCCTGACGGCAAGCTAGAAGACTAGACACTTAAATAAAGTTGTTGTTGTTGTTGTCTTACTTCCGGTAAGTCTTAAAGATACAGAAGACCTTGTGAACTTATAATCTAAAATTTTGTAGTTTTTAGCGAAGGAAATAACGTTTATTAATAATGTTAGCTCTACTTGTATCTTGTATTTTGTGTGATTAAATTCAAAATTAGTGCTGACAGGGTTTATAAATAATAAGGTAGTGTACAGATTTTTAAAATGACGTGTCCTTATCATGGAAATCAGCTAGAGCAGCCATCAATCGAAACGCTGTTTGTTTGATATGTTTAGCGCATTTGAATAACAATGATTTCATGGTGGTAAGTGATAAAGAAAACATAATGAACATAAATCTGTTTTGCATGTTCACCTCAGAATTAATACCATTTCACATAGTTACCATTTCATATGGAGAATAATAATGTATAAGAAACCTATTGCAAGGTTGTGGTAATAACTGTTTCAATTTATTATCTTCACCGAAAAACATGTTATTTTGATTATGACAGTTTATTTTTAAGCCTACCCTGCTCCAGAGGTCCATTCTCAAAATACCTAATATGAAATAAACCGTGCTTACAGTTTGACAAGGCTCCCGATTCAGACCTCTGGTCACACAAGCAAGCAACCTCATTTCCATGCAAGAAATCAGTTCAGAATCTGAACTGGGTCGTCGATTGGTTACTCCCACGTCTGCAGGGAATTAACACTGTAACAGTGAACTTGATTGGCTGTATCGAAAAACTTCACCACATGACATTTAAAACTAGTATATTATCTATGGATACAGTGTGAATAAACAATGAATTGAATAGCTTGTATGTTTGATTTCCTAATACAGGTCATACTCTAGAGAACTGTATCCTCAAATTTTGTCCAGTTCACATGCATCAATCTACGCATGAATTATGAATAGACATTTAGGGTTAAGTTCCCCTGGGACCACTGAGTTTTTGCAGCAAATTCTTCCCTGTTGCAATAACTCATTGTTGATTTTTCCAGCGTAAGTAAGGTTACAATATTCTGCTGTGGAACCTTGATCTAATGATGTACCAAGGGACTGGTAAAATTTGTTCTTTAAAATGTGATTTGTTATATTGAGGTTGTTATCCAAGTATTTTATGACAAATTTGTTGGTTTTACCAAGGACTTTGTTATATAGACCTTTATTACTTTGAGGTTTCACATAGGTTTAACATAGTGCATAATAATGTTAACATTGTTTTTGTTTTTGTTTTGTTTTTTTCATTAAGGAATTCCAATCAGACACAGTGACAGTTAATCTTGTTGCTGCAGATCCTCCAGATGCATGTTATTCTGTTATTAATGGAGAGGCCTTGCAAAAATCAATAGCCTTGGTTGAAAGAGGGTGAGTGCTTAACTACAGTGTACATATTTCCTAGAATGATTGCTACATCGTTCTTCAAATAGTGCATTTTCTTTGCTCCAGTTTCCTCCACACATTCACACCAAAACCACCCATAACTGTCAGTGTGAAACCATAAAGTTTATATTTATGTCTCTAATGAACCACTTGTGAGGTCATCAATTTTAACAGGCCTCTACCTTGTGATTGGGAAAGAGATCTTGTATTAAAACAATACCCAGATGAGCACAAATTGATTCATTTAACAGGTTGGAGATAAATGCTTGATAATCGTGTGTGCGTGACAGGTAAAAACCAATAATATAATCTCGTCCCGCTACCCACCTGACATACTACCCTCCTTTCATGGGGCCTTGGTGTTTTTGTGAAAACTTCTTTCATGGAAATAAAGCTTAGTAAATTCATGCTCCTCATAAGAAAAAAGGGAAATGAAGTGGGGAACGGAGAAAGTGAAAGGTAAAAGTTTAGAGCGGGCAATATAGTGATGTTCATTTACATGTATGTACACCTGTAAGACTGTGTGTCATTCAGCTGTGTGGGCCTTTCTTTTCTAACAAATGGTGAAACATTTTTCTTCCTCTCTGTTTAGAGGCTGTTCTTTTGTTTCCAAAGTTAAGACAGTTGAAAATCATGGTGCCATTGCTGTGTTTATAGCTGATAACCACCATGATAATGGGGAAGCCTTAGTAGACATGGTTCATGATGGCACTAAAAGAGATGTGCACATTCCTGCAGGATTCATGCTGGGCTCAGATGGGTGAGTGTTTGGGAGATGTGGTGACTTCTTTGAATAGCTAATAGAATAAGTATGATGCTACACTACAAAAGTTATGATCAGCACTGTCTAGGTCAAAAATTGGATATCGGATAAATCTAAGTAGTATTTTTGTTATTAATTTTTTATAAGAATGTTGCAAATGACATGTTGCTAACAAGACAATTCAGATGAATCCAATATCCAATTTTTGACCTGTAGAAAGTGCTAATCATAACTTTTGTAGTGTAGCATCAAACCTATTAATAAATACTATTTTAAGCAAAAGCTCAGTCATTTCCTCTTCGCAAAATGTATGCATCTTTCATCACTTTCTCCAACTCCGTCAAAACAGCTGAGCCATTGAACCTTTAGCGGAGTCAATATTATTGGTGTCATTTGTACAGTTACTGTACAGTTGGTTTTGGAGTAGAGTAGGAAAAACTGGAGTACCTGGAAAAAACCTCTTGGAGCAAGGGAGACCAGCAACCAATTCAACCCACATATGGCGTCGAAGCTGGGATTTGAAGCAGGGCCACATTGGTGAGGGGGACGTAAGGGTTTTGGTGATGCGGTTTTGTTCCATTTTTGGTGCGGTTTGGGGGAATGTTTATTTTAAGTTGTGGTATTGCAGTTTTACAAAACCAAGTGGTTTGCAGTATTCAGAAATTTTCAGGTAATTTCAATGCGGTTTGCGGTTTTCCTATGTCATTGTGTGCAGTGTTTATACCTTTTTCTGTGCGGTTTTGCGGTATTCATACGCCCCTTACCTCATTGGTGGAGGCGAGTACTCTCACCATCGCAAAATTGATGATATGCGAAGGGCAAAAACAGTCCCCAGGTGAACCCTGTACATTTTACCACGGAGAGGTCAAACGATGGTTTCTGCCTCAAATACTGTCTAAGACATCATTGAGTTTTCTGCCAGTCAATGCTCATGTGCCTCACAATATTGGACAACTTTCGGGATGAGCATTTAACGTTCACTTTTATCCCATCCTACCCTAGGTATCACATAAAACGTGGAATTGAGGGAGCTGGGATGCAAGGAGCAGTCATATCAATACCACTGAATGTCACAACCAATCCGAGTCTGTATGCTCGACAGCCTCCTTGGTCAAGCTGGTGACACAAATCAAGAAAATTCGATTTATATATAAAAATTAATTTAGTGGTTACTTTAGAATGGACACTGTAGAAGAGTAGTCACTATTTTTTCTGAGAAGTGTTTTATACAGCCTGGTTTCACAAGAAAAGAAATGAGTGGTAAATTGATTGAGATGCACGTTTGTATTAGGTGGCAGTCTGACTTTTCTGCCATGGAAGATTGTAGTGTTTTTTTTTTTTCAAAGTTTCAACCTCGTTCCCAGGGTATCTATTCTTATTACAAAGAGTAGAGATCTGGAGATGAGGTCGGAAAGGTGTTCTTATTGCTGGAGGGCCGGCGTTGCTTGCAAAATCTGTAATGAGAACACTTAGGTATGGAAACTTATCGCTGAATCATAATTCAAAATAGCTTATCTGACTTTAAGCAGAAGTCAAACTAATTTAACGCTTTTTTACTAGCGGCGTATTATTCATAAGTTATTTGATAATTTATATTACACGTATATTATGTCAAAGACTTTGTGAACGTGTTATGGTCAGGTATTTTCAGAAAATTTGAGATTTTTACAATAAAGTTTTTGTCATTTGGAATTTACTAAAATAGACGGCGTGAGGCAAGTTTTTGTTGTTTAAAGTACATGTAAACCAAACGAAGCTTATTTGTGGGTTTACACCGGTGTTCTCCAATAGGTGTTTCCTTGTGGTTTTCTTACCAAGGAAAACGTTTTTAATGAAGTTATTCCATTTACATGAGCAAGGATAACTTGTTCGTTTAAGTGAGGCTTAACTCGAGAAATTGTTAAGAACAACTCTGAATTTAACGTACTCGTTGGCGATCGTGTTATTCCATAGAGCAGATCCTCTGTACCTAATTGAAAGCTGGATAAATTGCGAGTTAAAGCGGGGCATACCAGCATTGCCTTATGTCTTGACGGTTATCTTGATGTCGTCCTATTGAAAATGCTATTGTAAATATGCAGGTATAAAAGTGATTGGATATTCTTAATGTAATATAAGGCTTGTGAAGTATTTTTACACTTACATAGTAATGTTCAGAACCGGGTCTGTATGCGAAGTGTTCGGAAGTGCCTTGTTTAACTGTGCTCATTTTGGTTGACGTCGTCTCCAAGTTGCAACAAATTGTTAGCCTGCATAATAGGTGCTTAATGAGCCAAGCGAGGCAAACGCGGCATTTTGCCCGAAGCGTCAGCGTACATGAAAAGCTCTACTGACAGGAAACAAGAGTTGTCCTAGTATAGAGCCCTGTGGGGTGAAACTGGTATGACTTCCAATGTAGTTCCATTGACGACCGTGAACTGGTGTCTTTCACTTAGGTAACTTTTTTTACCTAGTCTGGAAACGAACCAGAGATGCTAGAAGGTTGATGCAGTTTCATGACGAGGATTTCATGACTAACGCTACCGAATTCCCTTTTAAAATCAATGAAGCCTCCGGCAACAACCTTGCCACCATCTTCCGCCTTCCTCTAAACTTCGGTTATACGTATGACAGGTAATTCGGTTAAATATCCAGGACGTTACATTCATTGTCTATTGGAGGCAACGCTGTTCTGCTTGATTTTTTTTTTTATCAAGCTGTCGTTTGCCTCAGATTCAAGTATTTTGCTTTTGATGCCGAGTATAAAATGGAAACAAGTCGTTAGGTTTCCGGGTGATTCGTAATCCTTCTTGTATGTAAGAGTAAGCCTAGCCGTTTTCCAAACAGAGTATACAGTTTCACTAGCAATGCCGTATTGAAGCCGGTGCTATCGCTTTGCCACAAGTATTAAGATCGTGGATGGATGTTTTGAGGCACCATTCGACGTTTTTTTTACTTGGACATTACCTATCTTACGCATCACTGAAGTTTCGGAGGGAGAAAACACAGACAGTAGAGGAACCCCTACCAGTAATCAGGCTCTTTGGGACCACGTGGTTGACTGACAGGAAGGGGAAGTAGATTGTCCTGGTTTCAGTCCGATGGTAACAAAGTAAGTGTTCATTAACGTGCCTCATCTTCGTCCTGTAGTTCGAGAGCATTTATCGGATAAAGTACCGTCACTCCTTATTAAGGGTCCGATGGTCTTTTGTACTTTCGGGTTAGTTGTCCTGTTGACCTAATCCTAGTAGGAACTGGAATTTTTCGTCTCATTTGGCTTCTGGGAAAAATGTGGGCCTTTGCACTTCGACTTGTCGCGTCATTACGAGCCCAATATAGTTCGAACACATACCTCGGCAGTTTAACACAAGTCAGGAATTATGGTCCTGCTTAAGGTGTCACGGAACGCTTGCCACCCTAACTGCTTGCTGTTAATTACAACTGAAAAGAAACTTTTAAAAAATACCAACAGGGCACATACCCAAAAACGGGCATCGTGCAGTGTGATTTCTTTCTGAAAATTCATATACACTCTTTTTTTCTATAAGAATATATTTAATAAGAATATCGAGTGAAATTTGCAAAAGTTTAAGAATGTTTTAAGAATAAAGCCAAGGCTGACTTTTCGAAAAGGATGATTATTTTGAGTGATGAAAAGCTAATAAATATCTTTGTAACGTAACCGTATCAAATTATTGCTCCCTCCCACGTCAAGAAACTACCCAACAAAATGAAGAAACCTGCATTGATTATAGCCAAACGTTCAGTGCTAACGACAGTTTGATGAACGGTACATGAAATACATATCTAAAGTATACAGCAAAAACAAAAAATGAACAAACCCCAAAAAAGATATGACAAATTCTTTCCTTTTCAATTATAATTCAAGAATAATACATGAGTAATAATAATAAAAATATGAACAAACCGCAAAAAGGATATGATAAATTCTTTCTTTTTCAATTATAGTTCAAGAATAATACAAGAATATTGCAGGTTAAATTCGGCAGAAAAATAAGAACATTCAGCCTGGCCCGAAAAACCAACATTCTTACATTTAAAAAAAAAGAGTGTATGCACCTTGTGCACTACATGCATGCCAGTACGCAATACACTGCCCCAGTATATGGCAGAGTTCATGGGTTCGAAACCTTTTCAAGCACGTATTTTTCTTTCTTTCTCTTTCTTTTTCTTTGTTTGTTTGTTTGTCTTTTTTATTTTGTTTTTGTTTTTTTTGTTTTTTGGGGGTGTTTTTTCTGTTCTTTTCTTTTTCCTTCCTTTTTTTCCGCCTTTCGTTGTCTTAGTACTGGCAGAGGACTGGTACCCATGCTCAGTTTTCCAAAGAATGCTGGGATAGTAAAACTGCTCATGCCCAGTGAAACCGGGAGACGGCCAAGATCCTCGATGCTTTCTAGTGCTGGAAATGACTAGAAAATTGCCTTAAATTTTAGCTGTTTTTGGGACTTAAACCAGTGCATAGAGATACGATAAACCATTTGTCCAATGTTCTTTGCTATTGTGGCCACATTTTGCGTTTTCCGGCCATTCCATCAGCGCAAATTTGACTCGACAGACAGAGCAAGATTAAATCAGGGAAGTTGCTATGTCTCGGCATGAGGGTAAGAAGTAAGCTTACTTTCTTTAAAAAATAGATATTTCCTATTCGAGGTTAACTCAGTCCATAATATCTTGTGCTTATTTCAAGGCTTAAGCCCACTCAGCTGTATTTACTTTCGTCCAACGCTGGCAATTCTCATGTTTTGGCTGGTGTTGTTTTCAGTTCCGTTTCTTTACATTTATTAGATGTAGGCTCAACTTGAAAGTGAATGCATTGATTGTAGGGAAAGTTCCCATAATAATATTTGTCTTACATCTTCCTGTTTAACGTATGGTAGATGTGTTATCCTCCAGTGGAAATTTAAACAACTGATTATCGATGTCGATTTTAAAGTTTAAGTTGATTTAGTCCAATAATTAGTCGTTGTACTTTTAGGAGTGAGTTAGAACCAACATACATTTACGTGAACCATAACCACACAATTCTTATATAATTGGATTGCACGCAGCGACTTAAAGATGTGACTGTTGACTAATTTTGGGATCTCTTTAATTGTAATTGGGAGAACAAACTGCATGCAAATCATCCTATTTATTAAATTAATTAAAATACACTGTACAACTTTGATTCACTGATTTGTGCTGCAGTTTGTTTATGATGCCCTGGGGCTTACTACCTTTGTTGCATAGACATTGCATTCGAGCATGCCTTTCTGTGAAATAAGGGAGAGGTTTAGTTACTCAGGTTAGGGTTATGTTCAGCGTAGCAAGGACAGGAAGGTGCAAATTAGGCATTGTTACATAATTTGGTGAAAAGTGAAAAGTTGTTGAAGAGTGTCAAATATTCTTTCGATGAGTCTTGATAAAGTGCACTGAAAAATTAATAGTGTAGTTGCTGGAAATGAGAAATAGCTGGTGACCTGAAACAATAATTGCTCTGAAAAGTGAAAGCAGTCATCCACGTCGGTATTGGTTTGTCTGCCAGTACCCGTGCAGATTAAGCCACCACTTCTTTCCAGTAGTCATATTTATGATATTTTCTGATGGTGCAATTTCACACAACTGTTTATCGCAGAATTCATAAGAATTCTCATTCATTAAAAGAATTGCTTGATCTGGACATTCAATTTTTGGGAATTATGTTCTCTCTTTTTTGACAAATATCAGAAAAAACGTTTTGTCACTTTGCTAAAACTTATCTCAGGTAAATTTATAGCTACAAAACATGAATATTAGACTAAAGGAAAGATTGTGCAAAAGATAGTTTTATTGCACTTTTAAGGTTTTAACGATACGCTCATAAGAAAATAACAAAATTTCCATCAAGCCGAGCATGGATTGAAAAAAGACATCTTTTATAAATGGAACAATGATATATATTTCTCTTTCCAGTGATTAAAAACAGTGCCTTGTTAAAGCCTAACTCGTTTGCTTCCTAAAGTATGGGTCATTGAACATATGATAACATTACTGAGGAATAAAATTATTAAAGAAAGCTTATACTGCACTGAAAACAGTTTGGATGCTTAAAAAATTTCTGATGGTTTTATTTTTAGACAATTAGTTTTTTTTGTCTAAAATCGAAATTGTCCAATTTTTTTTGGCAGATTATGTTGTTACATTTTGCTTTTAACAGAACTGAAATGTTTTTGTTCTTTGCTGAATATTCTCTAAAGAAATTGCATAGCTTTCCCCATAATACATCTTTTTCCATAAAATGTCACCTCTTAAAAAAATTCTGCCTGAATAGTCAATAGTTATTTCACCCCATCAGAAAGTCTGTTAAGTTAAACTAAAGGTATTATAAATTTTTATGACATGAATGAGGATCATTATGTGCACTACTTCAGTAGGGGGATAAAATTTCAAAACATTGCATTTCAATAACAGCCCTATAAAAATGAACCAGCAGCTGGGAATTTTACTGCTTCTATTGGAAATATTCCTTCCTACACAGCACTTAAAGTCTGAAAATTTTACATAAAAACCACACAAGCCTTTACTTCATGTGTTTGTCTGTATGTAAAGGATTACAAAATGCACCAACCTTGCCTAATCAAAAAAACATTGCATTTCCTAGTGTGGGACAATGTTAGTACATATACTGTTCGTGTTTTGATTTAAAATGCCCTGAGCATTTAAAATAAGGATATGAACATACATTACAGTATGTTGCCCAGTATCCGGACGGTACCAGTATCCGGACACTTGAAACAAAAACTCAATTTTTGAGGCGCCCTTTTCAGTTCTCCGTAAACGAAGTATTTCGAATGAAAGCTGAACATTTCAGCTTTAAGATGAAAGTTTTGGCGATTTGAAAGCTTCCGAAACAGTCGCAGAGGACGCCGTTCTGTTCAAGTGAGTAAACTTTTGGTGGCTAATATTTACGCTGTTTACTGTGCAGTAAAATTAGTGCTGCTCAGAAAAGGGAGGGTAATGTGTGATATTTTCAAAGAAACTGTTTTATTTTTAAAGTGAAGATACTTAAGGAAGTCAGGTTTTCAGAAAGTTTATTAATTCTTGAAATTCTATTTGTTTGGAATAACGGAGGCCAGAAACATTCACTAACTATTGATGTCAGGTGCCCAGTATCCGGACAGTTTTTATTTGCTGTACAGAATCGATGAATTAGCTGTGTACATTATCCGGTTAAGATTTATTTCATATCAGTAACTATAATTAAAGCTTAGGATATATGATATAGTCATAAAATGTGATTCTACTCAACTCCATATGGAAATTTTCTTCACTCATTCCGGAGGCGCCTTGATTTCGTGTGCACGGCTTGTTTCGCGTGACTGCATTTTCTATATATAACCGAAAGTGTCTGAGTTGAACCTCGAATTCTCATACTTTCCCCAGTTGTGACTGCTAGAATGGGGTTGCAATGGTCTGAAAAATGTCACAAAGGGATTGAGAGATGTGAAAGAAGGAGGAATTAGTGCTATAAAAGCAGGCTTATTGTTGGGACTGAGCATGAAGAAATCAACACTGCAGGTCAGACTAAAAGGGAGAGTGACCTTTGACCGTCGGATTGAGGTCCCTTCCCCAAGCTTTTTTTTTTAAATAAAAAAATGAAGAAATGCCTTCCTTAAACCAGTCAAAAAGTTCCTAGTAAAGGAAGTGAGAATTATACCATTTTTAAAACAGCCGCTCGCGTTCCCCACCATACCCCAGTCATTTGTTATATTTTATTTCACGATGCTAGGTTATATATTTGGAATCGATTTCCAGACTACTTTGCAAGTGAAAGAGAAGCTTATAAGTCGCTTTCCTGTCGAAATTTATGTACAATTACTTTGTTATTGTTGTGTCCGGATACTGGGCCAGCTGTCCGGAAACTGGGCAACATAGGAGCTCTGCAAGAATATTAATTTCGCAATGGAAACAAAGGCAAAAAAGTTAAACTGTCTTTCGTCATATTAAGGACTAAATAGATTTTCTCTGGGCCAAATTTTAGAGCTTTTGCGATTAACAAAGGGAAGTTATTGCAATCTTAAACTGACGTGTCCGGATACTGGGCAACATACTGTACTGTAGGCTTTTCCACAGACCAACTTGTGTTGTGCGAAGCTGATAAATGCGAAAGATCATTACACCCTGTGCCGCTATGTTGTGATATGTATTCATTGGGCATACACTGTTCAATGTATTTGTGAAGGTTCTCATTAATTATAAGTTTTAAAGATGGCAGCATGATAATGGAGTGCTGTAGGTAATTTCAGGCTTTCATTCCCTCAATTTGCCCTGCCCTTTCTCTCCCAGAAGAAAACAGTTCTAAACTCTAAGTATCTGGCTTTTTAGTTGTTTGATGGCATACAGTAAGAACCCTGTTAGTGTTTTACTGTTATTCATTAAAATAATGAAAAGGGACTTTGCACAGGCTGCACTAATTGCCATTTGCATTGAGCATTTTCTTTTTGTTTTCATTCAACATACAGGTGTTAGCTGTGACTCATGTAGTAAAGCAAATTTCCGTGGTAAACGATTTAAATGTTTGATATGCTATGACTATGATCTCTGTTCGACATGCTATGAAAATGGAGCCACAACGACAAGACACACAGCAGATCATCCCATGCAGTGTATTCTAACCAGAACTGATTTTGGTAAGTGTTGCATCAGGAAGCTCTACTCAGAATGAGTTGTTTAATAATTAGCTTAAACAATGGAAAAATGACTCTAACATGGTCCCTAGCTGTACTTTGTAAAAACAATAGGATGCCATGACAGTGACGGCAATGAGAATGTCAAAAAAGCAATTAGTTGAATAGGCAAAACAACAATTCTGCACGTGCATCATACTTTTTCGTCCATTTCTTCGCAGTCACTGCTCGACCATGACTTGAAAATGCCTAATTTCACGTTTTATGGAGGACGTAAACAAGCGACGGCAAAATTTTGTTTCTCTTTCTGAACTTGAATATAGTTCTAAGGAATTCGTCTCAAAAAGAGTAATTGTGACACAGATTGAAAGAACGCAAATTCTCTTTTTAAATGACGTTTTCGTGGCCATCGCCGTCGTGGTATCTTAAACTCCCTATTAGCAGGTTTCATCTCAAAGGCCAATGAAACTAGAGGTTTCTGAGAGGTTGGCTGCTCGGCCACTTATTAGAAGACATTTGCTAACTCACTAAAACCTGAATTACCCTTACTAGCGTGGACTGCAGTAAATTAACAACTTACACCAAAAACAACAACTTTATTATTTATCGAGTTGTGTTTACAATTAGGGAAAATTAATATCCTAAATGAGATATTAAACCTTTCATTTTTGCCACAACCCACAAATATATAAAATATTTATATATTTTACCAGGGTAGGAAACTTTCTTTTCAATTCACTTGTCTCTTTGTAATGTGTATTTTTCTTGTCCGGACTACAAAACTACTTGTCCCAAAAAACTGGCAAAAGCAGGGTTTAAAACATTCTCTTTTTATTTACGCCATGTCCCAGTTTACTGAAAAGCTAAATAGTCAATAAAAACATTTTACTCAACAAATTGAATGAAAAGTTTATTCTTTTGATAAATGTACATCTGTGGAGTAGCGCATTTTGTTTGTTTCTTGTTCATAACAAGCCCAGTCGAATATTCTTTCATCCTAGCCGACTGAAATTTTCTTGTGCGCTTGATCTCATAAGTCTTTTTGTTATCCTCGATCTTTTTCTTGTTGGAAGGAACATCCTCACCAGTACTGTTATTCTTCAGTGCTAGTGCGGTGATCTTTTAAAAAAATTTAAAAATTTTGATTGAGACAATGCCGATACGCTCCACTAACTGCACTAGCAAACAAGTGATTCAGGTCGCTGATGATTGCTGACAAGCAAGTGTGATTGATGTGCATGCAATTATGCTGTACAGCGGGGGTTGCACGGAAATCAGTGGCAACGCTCCGCACAAAGAAATCAATCACACACAACTTACACAAAAGAAAGTTTATATTCAAGGCACTTAGTTATAAAATACAGGACTAAATAATAATAGTTTTTATCCAAAGTCAGGCAACGTCAGAGCTCTACAACTTACTTGCCCAAGCAGACAACTTGGATCATCTTTTTCCTTGTCCAAATGGAAAAGTTACCCATCTCGGACGTTCAGACGGGCCTTGTTTACTTTTTTATCAATTTATATCAGGCCTAGAATCAGTTATAAGACAATATGTCCATAAAGCACATGAATAAATGATTAATTAAATGCATATAAAATACAAGAAAAAATTAACAGTTTGCTAGTTGAAGCACACACATATTTAACTAGGTTAATTACCAGGTAGTAATTATGACAGGAAGATATGATCATGGACTATGCAGTCTTTGAACAAGAGTTGCTAATTGTTAAATTGAGGTGCCCACAAAATAAAAGGCTTACATATACATGTGCTTTCATCAATGATGTATACTAAGTCTTATGCTTAGGCGACACTACGTGTACAGTACCGCTCAAAAGTGAGTTACCATCCTCTCACGAGATGCAAATCACAACACGCGCTACGTGACACATCGCATGCTATGTGATTCTTGTCACGTGCTACACAATTCCTGTAGAGCACTATTGATTCTCGTAGCCCGCAATGGCCTAAAAACTGTAAGTATAATTGCCAAAATTCTTGAGCGATTTCAATAATCAGTGGTAAAGTTTTACCGCGACCAACACACGAACAGATTCTAACCTCTAAAATCTTTCCACATGAACTGATCCAGCATTGCATCTCTTATTTCTTGGGTATTGTCTAGTCCAGTGTCAGCCTGATGGTGTCAATGTATGTAGTTATTGGACTACCTTGATTTGGGTGACTATACCATAAATGTAACCAGTCTATCATTAATTTTAGGTTTGACAACATAGATATCCTTTGCATATGTTATGGATATGAGCTGTAAAGAGCTACATGTACTTGGAATTAACCCATTCGCTCCTGGAGATTTTGCCGAAAAACGCGTTTTGAAGCTAGTCGAGTGGTTTTCTGGTCGCTGTCGTGCTATAAAGGGCTAAAACTTACCACAAACCGGTTTACAGGTCGTACACTTGGCGGCCTTCTGATCCAGATGCAAAACATCAGCTTGCGAAGTTCGGGCATGTGCAGAAAGCAAAATTTCGAGATAGTTTTTGGTTTTAAAAGTGACACAGCAGTCTTGACTTTTACTTTTCACTTTTTCTCCTCCCTTCTTTTTTCGCTTTTCTTGCCTCATTTTTTTTTTCTCTTGCTGGGCATTTAGTAGGCTTCATTTTGGTGGGAAGAGTTTTTAGGAAAGCTTTTAGGATCTTAGGATTAGGTGAAAGGAAAGGTAGGTGGGCAATGGAACAAGATTTTCATGGAGATTTTCAGGTCAATGTCATGTGGTTTTTTGCTTCTTTCTCCGGTGTCCTTGACTGAATTGTGCTCATTCTGGTATGGTTTGAAAGATCTCTTCACTCTACACAAGTTAGCGAAGAGAGTTGTCCTTGACCGTTAAAACTGATGACATCACAAAGGGTAGAAAGGACCTGAATCCGCACGGGCGGTTACGGGCGGTTCAGGGGCGAATGGGTTAAGGAAGTTTTGCGTGCAAAAGATTATTTTATATCTACATGTAGATCTACAGATGAATGTACTTATTGTACTGTTTGTTTTTTTGCTTTCTCCATGTAATCATTTTTCTTTTTTTTTTGCCCAAAATTGGCCCACCTTGTGACAATAATGATACCAAGTAAGTAATTGTGCAGTTGTTAGAAGAAAACAGTTGTCAAAAATAATAATTGTGGTTTGTTCAACAGAACTTTATTACGGAGGTGAAGCATTTACAGCAGACCAGCCTCAAGCTTTTACTTGCCCCTATTGTGGAAAAATGGGGTTTACAGAATCAGCATTGCAGGAACACGTAACATCGGAACACAGTGATGCTTCCATTGAAGTTGTGAGTGTTTTATGAAGTTCAAAAGTAAAATTTATCTCTGTATTTTTAAGGAATGTACAATTTTATGCTGTTTGGAAAGAAAGTACAGGGTGCTGGAAAGTAATATAGAGGTACATGATTATACTGGGTCCAAGTCACCCTCTGTTCTGGTCTGTACCTGATTTTGTCCCTTGAAGTCCCAGGCTCAACACCTAAGCTGCACTCTAAAATAACTAACTGGTTCATCTCCTGCAAGGTGTCACTATTAACACTTCCACCTCTCAGTCATAGTGCTTGTACAGTGATTTTGTCACATATAATTATGGCGAGTCCTGGGACTCATATTGTGAAAAATCATGAGTCCCGGTGCAGAACCAATGAGTCCCAGTTAAAAAAACAACCAAGTCCTAAAATAATTGAAAATGCTCGGGCCATGTAACTAGACAGTACTGTTAATCTGACAATTCAGGGTACACCTAACCTCTTTTCAAGGGAGGTGTCCCTTGAAAAGAGGTGTCCCTCAAATGGAGGTGTCCCCTGAATAGAGGTGTCCCCTGAATGGAGGTTGGGCTGAGGTTTGTTAATTATTAATGAACAAATATAATATTTTTATTAGAGCTAAAAAAGGCGACTGTTCTTCCAGGCCATGGATTCTGCTGCAATCATTATTTAAGCCGCGTAATAATGACTGTATAGAAAATCATGATTAACTTATCTCTACGATGTTGTGTGTTGAATTCCCACAAGTGGAGTACTGTACATCTATTTAAGTGAGTTAATTCATTTTTTGAAAGCTCTCGCCATTGTGACTAGCAAACACTTAAGAACTTATCAATAATTTTTGTGGTCAGTCACTTTTTGATTGCTTCATGTTAGGTGTACCCTGAATGGAGGTTAAACCAAGGTTTTGGGACCCAGAAAAGCAAATAAGTAAATGAATGATGAGAATAGTTAATTTCATAAACACGCTCTGCTGGATTACAAAACCTTTCATGTGTTTAAAAAAACTGGACGCTCAGTTGTTGCCTTGTTTTCATATGTAGGTTTGTCCAGTGTGCGCAGCCCTACCAGGTGGAGACCCAAATCATGTGACAGATGACTTTGCTGCTCATTTGACGTTAGAGCACAGGGCACCCAGTAGAGATATACTAATATCCTTTACATTTTTAATAACGTGGTGTAGGCAGTCGTTTTTGTATCGCTGTATTAGAGCATTTAAAACAAACGTTAGCAGGTATGTTTCAATGATCATCACCGCCACGTGTTTACATGTACACAAGCATTATTTTTTTCAGAAGCATGGGATTATATGCTCCTGTTTTTTAAAAAATCATGGATCTTCAAGTGAAGCGTGGTAAAGAATTGTAGTGGCGCCTTAAACCATCCATTACCATTCGACAGAAAATCCCACGCATAAACATGTAAAATCTGATTTTAACCTTGTGGGAGAAGGACCCACATCAAAGTATATCCAAATCAACTGGAAAGTCTAAAAAGGGGATATAGAAAATGCGTTGCCTCAAACAATATTGTACCTCATATTTTTCAAACTTCCCAAACGAAAGAGCGTGAACTATTTGACTTTCCAACCATTTTTTAGGTTTTCCCATGTAAATGATAAGGACCCTGAATTCTTGACATGGTCCTCTGTGTTTTTTCAGGGATAATTTACGATACCTGGTTCGGGGGAATTTACTAGAGTGCATGTTGTGCAGAAGTGGTAGGCGCAATTAGGCCATATTTTTTTCTTACTTAATAGTACAGTCCTGCGCAGTGGAAATAGGCAGCACCAAGGGGACTCATACTTGCAAGGTGCTTTCCCCATAATCGTTTGATCTGTGTATATTGCATTGTTCTTTAACTGACTTACTACGATGAACCAGGAGCGGCGCGGCATGTGAGACGTTTATTTCATCCGGCAGTTGGCGGAAGTCGGCCCAGACCTCCTCGACCACGAGCAGCCAATATGCATTTCGGAGGATCTGGGGGTAGCGGTCTTGGGTCGTCTTCATCCTCCTCCTCCGCGTCCGGCCGTGAGAGCATGGACCCTATAGCGGAGCTTCTGTCCCAACTGTCGGGTGTGCGTCGAGCAGCACAGCAATCCCAGCCTCCCATGCAGTCGCAGCTTCAATTGCTGCAACAGCAGTTGCAACTGGAAAGACAGCAAGTGCAACAGACAAGGGAACGACTGGAAAGACTTCCAGCGCGGCGGCCGATGGCAGCTGCAGCAGCAGCAGCAGCAGCTAGCGGTAGTGTACCAACCACATCAACAGCTAGTGCTCAAGAAAGCAGCAGCTCAGCCTCTTCGTCTTTTCTCCTTGCAAGGTCGGTACATATAAAAACAGAACACTTTAAACATCAACTGACTTCATGAGATGAACGAGTAAGGTTTTACGTCGCAAGGCAAACGTAGCCTTGGCTTATTAAACCATCATAACTAGTCTGTTGGTCGATACACCCGATACATGTAGATACTTTCCTCGGCGGCCTTTTTAATTTAAGCGGTCGTACCTTATGAGTTTCATACATAGGTCGTTATTTTGAGGGACAAGAGGTGCTTGGTTTGCTTGCTATGAAATTACACAATTAAGATTAATATAAGTGAGGCCACACGAAAAATTTTGTGTTTACCTAAAATTCGTTTGGTTTGTTCTAATGTAGCGAAACGTCGATCCAGAAGAGTTTTGTTCAGTGTTCTAAATTTATTGATTACTTTATTACTTTATTGTATTAAAATAACCAAACATACGCCCCTTTCATAAACTCGGTAGGCGAATTGCTACTTTTACTGTTATTTGTTTTAGGGCTAATGAACCCTCGCTCTCAGAGTCCGAACAAGAAATCCTCGAACGCGAGCGTGCGGACAGAAGTCTGTTTGTACAGGATCTTATATTATCCACACTCGGATCAGCCGCATTTAGGCGAAGACCACGCCCAATCCCCGACTCAACAGAACCTTCGGAGGAGTTTGCAAGCCTAACGATACAGGGTTGCACGGCAAATGATGCCGCACGTGGGGCGGCAGAATCACAAGACTCAAACGTTGTCGAACAGGACGTTACTGTTGAAGATATGGAGTTTATATCATTGGAAACAGAAGAAGACAAAGATTCCTAGCGTATGCAGGATCTTCACGTAGACAAATTAAATTTTAGCCTCTGTGTAACCCGCTCAGAACTGGTTTTGCAGTGACTTTAACGCCACCCGTTCACTTGCCGTCGTTTTAGATCGTTGTGCCCGCGCGCGATCTTATGAAAAGGATGGTACTATAGGGCAGGAAAGGACATCCTGTTGTTGTTTTCAGAAAGGACCATCTTATAAATGTGTTGACCTGATATTGTCATTAAAACACCGGCACGCTTGTCAGTTCGCCCAAGCGAAATTTCCCAATTGTCAACTTCGCCCAAATTGATTAAGAATCGCCCATTCGTAAATATAGGTGTGAAAAGTAGCTCCAAATACAAACTAACGTAATACTAAATACGTGGCTGTATATACCGTCCGGTTTTCCAATGTGAGCGAGTGGACCTCAATTTGGGCCAATTTGACTTTGGTGAATTTTCTTTGAGCAAATTGATTGGCAACCAAGCCTAGAATCAATTTATCCGTGACGAAATGCCGCGCCATGAAAGAGAATAACCATAATAGTGCGCATTTTGTAGTTGGAGAGATATTAAAGTAGGTAGGGTTGGAAAAATAAATTTTAATGAACTAGTATGCCAAACTACTTCACATATTTAGCTTTTGGGGTGGGCGGTCGTTTTGGATATCCAGTCGTTTCTGGTTCAGATCCCGTCGGGACAAGTACGAGTACGAGATTTTCTCAGTGGTAATAGGTAGCGCTTGCTCGTGAACCAGCGTCATTTTGGCGGGAAAATGTGGTAGCCGTCGTCACTCTACTACGAGTTTCAGCGAGAATGTCGAAGTGGGGAAAACAAGTTATCAAATGTTAAAAGTTTTAGAGCGGTTTTCACTTGACTGTCGAAAGTAATTGGTTTGGGTTTTGGTTTTGGTTTTACTACGCCCTTTGGTTGGCTAGTGTATTTACTTTGGTTTTGGTTTTACGACAGTCGAGTGAAAACCGCTCTATCATTTTGCGATCTGGAGAGGGTGTAACCTCCTTCACTAAAGGTAACAGTGCTAACTTTTCTATTAAAAAATTGTGTAATGAAGCTTTCCGGGGAGTCTTTGTTTTTAGAATACGCGAGAAAACTTTAAGTCAAATCTCGTACTTGTAGTCGTCCTCGTGCTTGAATCTAAAGATCTCTAATTACTCTACATCGTAGCCCACCAGTGAAAAAAAAAAAAAACGAAAAAACCTGACTTTTAATATAGGGGAGACAATTACTGATAAACCAGTCACTGTTTTCATTGTGGCCCACAAGGTTAAGAATCCTAACTGGCCAGAGGCAAACCAGTTGGCTATTTGAACTCTCTGATCTGAACTACCGAGAACAAATCCAGCTAATTAAAACAGGGCGTGAACTTGGTACTTCCCGATTACAAGTTAGCGCTCAACCACGCTGCCTGCCCACGTATTTCTTGAAATGATAAATATTTCCCCTTTATTTATTACCGACCTTTAATGTTTACCATCTTAGTGTCGCATATGAACCAATGTCCTAAACCTCCATGAAACATTCCGTACTCGATCGGTTACAGGAGATCACATGAGTTTCTACCTCGTAAGGAATCCACTCTAGTATACAGTATAATGCTCGTTGTAAAAGATAAACCCTGTGATTGACTCTCTTCCTACCCAGAAAGATACATGTAGTATTGAGACCTCATCGGCCTTCTTCATACTACCATATGAGCATGTTATTTTCAATCTGCAATTTAGCTGGAAATCTGCGACAAAAAGGGCCAAGTGTGTAGCGAAAGGTTCTCAAGCGCATGCAAGAGAAGCTTTCTTCACATAAAATTTGTCCTTAGGACTCCTTAGGGTCCGCGTTCGAGAATCGCTGGCGAGGTACGATGTCTCAGCAGCTAATAGCTATACAAGTAGGCATAAGTGAGTGGATTAGACTCTAAAACACAAAAAAACACATAAAACACACAAAAATTTGTCCTTAGGGCCCGCGTTCGAAAATCGCTGGCGAGGTACGATGTCTCAGCAGCTAATAGCTATACAAGTAGGCATAAGTGAGTGGATTAGACTCTAGTTTACGTTACCCTCATTAGTAGGGTCTGCTCTTTGTTACATAGCCTGCGAGCAAGTTCTCCATTTGGGGGATATCGTGAAAAGTGGACGCTCGTCTCGCCTCGCTCGCCCAAATGGGAAAGTTTGCTCGCAGGCTATTTTTCACAAGGTGATTGCCCCCCCTAACCCTAACCCTAAACCTACCCCCCCCCCCCCGAGTACAACTTGTTTTTTTAAAGTCCCAATGGTAAAGGTTTCCTCCCGGCTATTTTTCACAAGGGTTATCCCCCCCCCAACCCTCCCCCTCACCCCTCCCCCCCCCCCCCGAGTACAACTTGTTTTTTTAAAGAAATTATTGAAATCTTATTCACATCTGCCTCTCTCTCCTAAGTTGTCCTTCTACTCAGCAGTTGGTCCCGAATCTTATTCAGATTTTTGCTCATAGTCCGGCGGCTTAGCTAGAAAATCATGCGATTTTTGATACAAGCGCCAAACTTTGTAGGAATATTTACGTTCCCAGGCTGGTGATTTCCTGATATAGTGCCAAGCTTTATTTTTCAATTTCAGCTAGTTAGCAGCGAATGAAATTTTCACACCCGAGAACCCCGCGAAGTTATTTTTCTTGCTCTTTTTCTAGATTTAAAGTGGAAATAACGAATTTTTCCTATTTTCTCGTCCGAATCTACCCGTCATGCAATGACGTTTCCCGAAAAAAATTTTTGATTCCGACGAAAAGCGATTTTTTTAATGATTTTTTCAAGTCTTCGAAATTTGCTGCCATTTTGTTCCACCACTGCGCATTAGTCTCCTCTCGCCGTGACGTAGCTTCAAGAACTCTTATTCCTCTCAAGCCAAGTGATTTGGTTGTATCTTTCTCGATCGTGAAAAATGTACCTTTGAAAATGCGTAAGAGATATGTCGCAGCACGTTGCAAAAGGTAGCTGACTCTAAGAAGAATATTTCGATGCATAAGATTCCATTCTTTGCCGAGGAATGCCCAATAAAGAACAAAAGAAGAAAGAGGTGGATCAATTTCGTGTTGGAGAGGAGAAAGATGTGGGTACCGTGGGAAGACGTTTTATTTCAAAATACATGTAGAGGTACAAAAATATACACATGTTTAATTTTGGATGCGAATTGTTATTGTTATTTTCCTCTTTTCATATATAAATGAAGGCCATACTTTGGAATTTATGTTCACATGCCTTTTCTCTCTTTTCTCTTGGTTGAGTTGGTTCGGATGGTAAGAGTTTGTGCTATCTCATTGTAAATATGCATGCGACTCGGTTTAGCTATAAAAAAACTATTCTAGTCTCATAACAGAGAAAACTGTCGGTTTAAAAAAAAAAAAGTAAGAAATAGGTTAATTTGAAGACGAAGGAAACAGGTCGCTACCTCAAGCAACTGACTGGTTTCAATGTGTTATTTGCCAGAAGGAATGAAAATCCTCAGTGTCCTGTTAACTGGAAACGGCACTACTCTTGCATTTGCTGGATACCTTATTCTTGAACAAGACTTAACTTCATTTTTATGAGCAGTTGACTGCAGGGGAGATGGAATTCAGCTTCCACATTATCAAGTCGTTTGCCATGTGGCAAAAGTCTCGTCGCGATGCGTTCAACAGGACCGTGAAACCGGATTGCATGATGTCATAAGAAACATTTCCTGTAACTAATCTACAGCATCAAACGTACACTGTCAAGAATGCGTCTGTTTGCACGGAGGAGAAGCAGACATTAAAATGACAGTCCATGTAGCTGATGCAGTAGAAAATGTTCACTAGTCAACCATGACTCGAAATTAAGCGTATTTTTCCACTATCTTGGAGCCTGACACAGGCTTCTTTATACTTCAAGGAATTTTGAGTGTCTTATGGGACAGGAAATATCCTACCCACACTCTTCTTTCCAATTAAAAGCCTTTGGTCCATCTAACTCGACATTTCTCCTTGCGTTCCATGCCTTAACAGTGTGTGATACAGCTTCCTTCTCCGCTGGTCATAGAATTGCCATTAAAAGGAAGAATTGTTATTATTAAAATAATGAAGAAAAATAAGGGTCACCGGTAGAGCTGCAGATAGTGCGCACCACCTGCATTTCTTGCGAATTTTGAGGGAGGATTGGGGCGAGTTTCAGAGCGGCATTTACGTGGAAGGTGGAAGAAAGCATTGAAAAATTCGATATTATCGAATTTACATCGAGGTAAAGCAATTAGGACACAATGTGATAAAGATGAAGCTTAAATATGAGGAAGTTTAACTCAGCAACACGCATACCGCTTACGTAAGGCTTATTTCCAACAATTTGAGACTCATCTGAGCCAGACGTTTCCCTTCGATTGAGGTCATTTTAATCATGTTTCTGCAGAGGCTCTTTTCCACGGTGGCCATCTTGTTATGCGCAGTGAGGGATGCACAGTGGCAAAACTAGAGAATCACCATAAGTTTATTAAGTAACGAAAATGTGAAATCAATTACGTAGCAAAGCCATGTGCAAAGATATTAGTTGTATTACATATAATAATCAAACAAACTGAAGGCACATTAATTTATTCAGTCGTCGTAGGTTTAGTTTTCCTTTGCTTACCGTCGCCATAGCAACGCATAGTTAAGGTCAAATGGCGTGTTATAAACAAGATGTACGTGGTAAACAGGTTGGCTGACTGAGTGAAATCATGAAATCAGGACAAATAATTTAATGAATTGAATTCATTAATTTTTTATGAATTTTAATAAATTGTGGTTTCTATGGAAACCGACCTACTAACGGCTTGGCACTAGTATATCTGAAAATCCTTGTATTGGTGACTACTATCAGTGTGCCAAATTTCATGCTTGTGTCTAAAAGTGCACAATTCACTCAAAATTTCGAGTTAAGCCCCGGACTATCAGTGGTTTCGGTCTTTTCTTAGGGTTAACGAGTTCAGTGGCACAGGTACTTGCTTTTCTTTCTCTTGAATGGTTAAATCATTCTTGCACGTACACCTAATTGCAGTAACGTTGTCATATAAAAATGTCAAAACGAAAAGATGTAAATGTAAAAAGCCAAATAGGAATTGATTTTACTTACAAATAAACCACTTAAGGGTGCATGCATTTGCAAGATAATCGTACAGCCGTCTCATTTACTTTTGTTTTTTTACGCCTCAACGACGGCTATGCTGCGAGCAAATACAGCCTATAGTGGTTTCATGTATTAGTAAGCCTAATTCTTACTTTTTTCACTTTTTTAGTAGGACAACGTTATTGAAAATTCAAATTGCGAAGAGTTCTGGTATTGCTTTCCTGCCTCACAAAAGGAGAGTGTACAGGGAATTTGAACATGCCCTCGCTCTTTCTAAATATGGACCGGCCCCTTTAAAGTCGTTGCCTTGTTTTCTATTGCCTCAAGTGAAGATGGAACAAGCTGAGGAAACTTAAGGATTACATTTATAGATTGACTCTTTTTATGCTCCAGAAAATCCACATCTCGGTGAGTTCTCTTTAATGTCTACAATACGTCTTCTTTCATTGATAAAATTTCCTGTTGATGAAAACACATTTCAGCAAAGGAAGTACTAATAAAAATAAGCGATCTCCGCTTTTAAATTTTCCTGTGTAAAGGTTCGACCATATAACGAGACTGCATGGCAGATGAGTTAGATGAATTAAACAAACTTGCATCCAGATGCCTTCTTTATTGACACTAAGAATAGCTATAAATGTATAACAATCTACTTCTTGCGATCATAAAAGCTTCAGTGAAGCACCTGCCACGAGTTAATTCCTTAATTTTAACCAGTCGCGTGATAACAGCTTACACAACAAGTCAATTTGCACTCGGAGTGAGATAAGTGATTATGTATTTGCATCCATTCCCAAATAAGTATGCTCTCATTATGTCAGCGGTAAGAAAAGAACATATCTAGAGCTTCTGAAATAAATTAACCAAGCTGTTTAAAAAGCAAATTGGCCTCTCTTTTGGCGGATTATTGTTCATATTTACCGTTAATTTTGCTTTTGCTCAGGAAGATGCTTCCATTTGTTTTGTTGTTTGTGACAACTATGGCCTGCTCCATTTTTTCGCAAGACTCGATCAGGTTTGTAGATCGTATGCTGGAACAGTACAATGGCCCAGAGACCCCAAGCCAGAATTATACTCGTGAGTCACCCGAGCCACCCATACCCAACTGCCCAACGGAGCTTAACGCATCATGGTTGTTAAGACCACCATTCACGACAAATTCCAGTGAAAGTGCATATGAAGTACGAGGGATTTTTCACCACGTTTTTGATCTGGCTTTGAAGAAGTGTTGCGCCAAACTTAAAGCAGGAAACAAAACAAGAATCAATTTCAAAACACAAGGACTAAACAGATCTCAACTTCACGACCTTCTCCTTAATGATAGAGTTCATCTTATTCTTCCTGTGCAAAGCGATGAGGACAAAACGTACAAAATGATCCTGCCTTTCATCAAAATTTTGGATTCTCCTGGAGTCGTCCTCATCCAAAGATCTAATCTAACACAGCATTCATCATGGATGATGAGGAATAGGGAAATTTGGAATGTCATTAGCAGCTGTCTCCCCATTGTTGCCTTAACAATGCTGCTGTCGTTTGTAGCAGGGATATTTGTCTGGATGATGGTAAGTACTAAACATGAATTGGAACTGGACCTCAGTGAAATATTGATTTTCCCAATTTTTAGTTTTGCCTTTAAAATGCGTTTACTCGTTAGAATAGCTTAATCGAGGCTACGTTTACAAGTGTCTGACGAATTTTCGACCGTTTAAAAATTCATGCGTTTAGGTGTTCCGTTCACATGAAACCTGACGCACGCTACCCGAACGAAAAATTTAGACACCTAGCCGTTCAGAAATTTGGAACTCCAAAGTGCAACCGCACCTTTAACGTACAAAAATTTAGACACCGGTCAAATTTTCGACCGCACCGGCTGAAAATTTGACCGGCGTCTAAATTTTTGTACGTTAAAGGCTAGTTGTATGGATACGTTGTTGCTCAGCTTGGAGACGCCCGATCTCTACCTTTGCGGACTGCGCATAAGAAAATAGTAAAACCGTTGACAAAAGTTAAAATTAACACACTTATGTCCAAGATTTTCACGCAGCCGCAAAAATTACGATTTTTCGGGTGTTAACGAAAAATTGTAAAAAACGGAAGGTTGGCGATTTTTTGAAAGCCAGTTGCGAAAATTGCGAAAAATCGCAAGTCTGACGATTTTCCGCGTTAGCTGCGGTTTTTCGCAGTTCTTTGTCATGTTATAAATGATCACTGAAGTCCAGACCGAGTTGCCGATTTGAAAAAAAAAGTTGCAAAAATTGCGAGAGCGAAAAATTGAGCGGTTCCATCATGTGAGCGAAGTGTTTGGTCAATTTTTTCAGCCGGTCGAAAAGTCCTTCGGTGACGTATGAACATAGGCCGACGTTTAGAAAGAAAACTGTCTGATTTCGTTCTCTACCCATTTTATAGGATAGGGGAAGTAGTTAGTTGAGCGCTGTTAATTAGAAATAAATTCTTGCGTTTCGACAATATAAAAGCCCTCATCAGGGGAAAATATGCGAAAACGTTTAAAGCTGTAAAAGGCACCGTAAAAGGACCGTTGGAAAACATAACAACTTACTTGTAAAAGCCAGTTTATGCAATTTTTAGTCAAGCCAGGTCAAGCGTACCCCCCAAAATTCCATTAATGAATTTATTATTCGAAGGTTCAATCCGTTGGTAGTTGTATGCATTCTTTCGTCTATGCATTCTTGCATGCTTAATGAGCCTTGAATTCACACGCGATTCAGTTACGAAATTTCTACCTGCTCAGTTTCCCTGAATTTGATGTAAATGTCTCCTAAGAAAATTCATCCATTCAAAGGTTTTCAATCTGACCAGATACAGAGAAGTTCTCGTAAAATATTCACTGCTCATTACGCGTGCAGGAATACCGATTTGAATTTGACACTAATTTCGGGAACGACTAACGCATTCATTTTTCACTGAAATAATCAATTCATTAATAGAATCTTGGAGGTACGCTTGACCTGCCTTGACTGTAATCTTCGCGAACGAATCTTGTCTTGTTAAATTCAAACAGGAAATGAAGACAAATACCGAGGAGTTTGGCAAGCCGCTTCATAGCGGGATTTTTGATGGCTTCTGGTGGGCGTTTGTTACCATGTCAACAGTTGGGTAAGCACATCTGTTCAATGAAACGGCTGCCATGTTTTTGTTCCAAACCAATCCTGATTCCAAACTGGCGGATCAACAAAGGAAATAGGATACGCCGGCACGCAGGCTGTCTGTCTAGGGAATGAATGTTAAGTTACCGAGGAGAAGGGGTTCTGGCTTATAAAGCGTTTTACAACTTTTGAAGGCTGGTGCTGGGCGTTCATCTGCTTTGGTTCAATTTTATCCTAGATTTAAATTCATTCCTAGTCCCTAGGCCTCATTATTGCGCGCGGCCGATTTGTTCAGGCCACGTGGTCGGAGCGAGTTTTTTTCTCCCAGCCGTTCGTCTCGGATAGGCAAATGTAATATGATGAGTTTGAAACGGGAATTAAAATTAAACCGAGGGATAAAATTGAAACAAAGCACTTCCATGCATGCATTTATCCACCCAATAGTTAAGCATCGGAGCGATTTAAGCGCCTTTCTTCCCACTGAATGTAAAATGATTGATCTAAAGTATATTAACTAGGAGTTTCAATTGGGCATCAGAGCTGGAAGACAATACGGAGAATACAGTTTAAAAATAAATTAAGTGAAGAAAATGAAAATGACGCCTGGGAATTAGGGTGGGTAAGCCTTTCAAAATTTCCAGAGTGCCAGCAGATGATCGAGTTAGGACACAGTGCGAGCCACCGAGCCATGCGAAAAAAAACGTACAAATTTATGGCGCGTTGTCAGGGTCAAAATAAAAAAGGTACACCCTTCGTTATGAATTTAAAATCATATGTTCCCTGTCATTTAATTCTGCAAACTTACGTTATTTTCCAGCTTGAATTGTGAATAAAAGTTACATTCGGGCATCATTGCACCATAGAAATATCGGCAACACTCCGTCATTATTCCTAAAATAAAATGTTCTCCTGGCATTTCATTCTGCTGAAAAAAAAAGTCTCTTCTTTTTCTGAATTGTAAATAAAAACATTACTTAAACATTGACCAAGAAAAGAAATCTTAAATACCCTCTGCTGCCAAAATGCAAAACAACAAGTAAACAGAAACGCAGTCGAATGGGGTAAAAGGTACTCCTGCTCTCATGCTTGTTGAATTTGTGTAATAAAGTCTTTACACAAACCGTTCAAAATTCAAAACAAATACATACTTTGTTTTCTTTTTATTTCTTTTGTTACTTGTAACCAGTCTAACTGCTGAATTGGAAACTTCCTTCAGCCGGATGTGAGATTTGCGATAACAAGGCATTTTGAATTGAATACGCGCATTTCGAGTTGAATTCTTTCGACCAGGCGTTATCAGATACATAGGGCCTGGTCACTAAGCCGTTATGACGTCTTAACGCCTGGCCACTAAGCCAGGTTTCGAAAGACTCGCGAAAATGGCGCAAAATCAACTTAGGCCGGAGCAGTCTCAATTTCTGACTGACGTAAGACAAATTCTGTTAGATTTATCCAGGAGATTGCAACAAGGTGTCGGTGACGATGTAGTCGATTACGCTTTGTTCCGGTTACAGCAACTTTCCCGTCATTTGGCAAGATTTGCCCATGCAGCACAAGTTTATGAGGAAGTGCAGGCTGACCTCGACATGATAGCCTCCTTATTAACTGAGGCAGATAGAAACTTTCCGTGTCAGTACATGGGCCTAAATGCAGGTGCGAGTTACTCCGGGGGTCCGGGCCGTCCACGGATGGAGATTAGTAGAGACCCTGATAACGCGCCATACAGATTAACCTGTCGTTTTATATATTTATGGTTAAAAACCTAACAGTAAATGAAAGCTGACCATTTCGAGTCAGTGCTTAGCCTAATCACTATGCTCAGTGATTAACCTTAATCACTATTACGTTTTTCGGAAAGTTTTAAAATGTCATAACCTAAGAGCATAGAAATAAAGAGATTGCGAATTAAACGTTAGCAGATTTATTGCAAAATAACTGTGACGTCTCAAGGCGGGAGCAGATGTAGTGAGAACTATTGCTAGTTGTATTTTTTAGGTTGGATTCATTTGCAACATATCCGTATAGCTGTTTCATTTGCCTGTTGAATTTTTTTTTATTGTATTTAGGCTTAAGAACAATGAAAAATTCTAACAGTCAAATGCGACGGCTATAGCGTATGTTGCACTATGAATCCACCTTTAGATTTCTTTATATGCCTATGGAAATAATATTTCATCGAGGTCACGAACGATCAAGTGATGAATCCCGGGGAAAACAAAGATATTTTTATGTGTTTGGCTGCTCTACTATGTCAACAATCTTTTATAATTCGCAAACGGAGGTGAATGATTAATGTGGTGCTCGAGAAGTTTTCTTTTGTCTTAAAGGTTTAAAAAAGAGCGATACACATTTGAATCCATATGGATACAAGCTTTTCTTTCGCCACAATGGGCAAATCAGCGACTCATGGTCAAACTATCTTTTCGCAACTGCAGAAGTTGCGTATATAACTGCGATGATTTTCATTCATATAATTCTTCACTCCGCAGTTCACATATATGATTTTCATATATTCATAGGTTTATCAGCTGAATTGTTTACCTCAACGGAAAGAGTTTTGACACAACGATCAAACTTCACGCCTCAACGGGCGATTGTGGTACCGAAGTCGCTCAGTATTAGAGACGGAAAGCTCAGTGGTTTGCTCCTCTTTTTTGCCTGACACCAGCAAGTTAGAGTCGTCAGTGTACTCCGAGGAGAAGAATTTTTGCCTGTCACATCACTTCTGCTGAATGCACAAAGAAAAAACTACATGTATCTCCAGTCGTGATGAAGGAAGATTCGATCGATATCTTCGCACCTCAATTAATTCGCGAATCGACAAATAGAGCAACCAAACACCTATAAAATCTCTCGTCTTCCTTGAGATTCATCACTAAAACGCTCTGGATCGAGACCATAATGAATACTTCTACAAGCACACAAAGACATCTAAAAAATAAAAAAGCAGTTACACCAAAGGCTTAACAGGTTTACAATCTGCTTGCACGCTGGAAATTTACTCGAATTCTCTGGACGATCTCGTTCACGTGTGTTTTACGTGATGTCATTGCACAGGAGTGAATACCCCGGATAATAAGAAAATAAAAATCGACTGCGCATGCTTCTGATCTTACATCTGACAAATTTCGGCTTTTTCCCGCTATTCAGTGTGCTGCCTCGCCTAAAGGTTGATTTCCACTGTCGCGTAATATTTATGCGCGTAAACATATAGAGGCAATATATAGACGGTCACGCGTAAGCGTGAAAGTTGAGCGAGTGTCAACTCAGTGAGGTTTACGCGTGGTTATACATTGCCTCTATTTCATTTACGCACGAAAAAATTACGCGGCAGAGGAAATCAACCCTAAGGCTCGCCAGCAATAAACCAAGCTAAGGACCTAGGGTATTCCGAAAAGGTGATAGGCTAGACAAATGATGGCAGTGGAGCAATTTTCTTAGAAGAAGGCTAACATTAATAATTTTGAATTGATTGAATGCCTTATTTTTCGAAGATATGGCGACAAGACGCCGAGGTCTGTAGCGGCTCGGTTGTTCGCTGTGGGTTGGATAATGATTGGTGTCACCATCTGTTCAATTTTGACGGCCACATTGTCCAGTGCTTTGACAAGTGTTACAGTGGAGAGTGTTGGTGTGATCGCAGGAATAAAGGTACATAATGCATTGAGAATTTCATTTCTTGTCGAGCCCGACTTGATGTTGGTGACAGCATCCTAACGACAGAGGGCATTGACAATCCTCCTTGTTTTTTAGGTCGGTGCTGCAAGAGATAGCATCGCATTGCAGAAAGCGGTGAACCTTGGTGCGAACGTAACAGGTGATTGTCTATTGCCACCAACCTACGGTACTACCCTGCAAGTAATTAAGAACGAGTTTAAAAAAATCTGTTTCTCTAAAATTCGTCAGTTAGATGCCCTCTATAAAAGAACCTGATTAGCCTAAAGTTAGGAACAGGCTCTTATTTTGTTCTAGAATAACCCATTTGTGCTGAAGGAGAACTTCGTAGGAAATCATCAATGCTTTCATCTTTCTTATTTTTACTTGTTTTTAATGATTTTTATTGGTAAGCAATTTTTTGCAAGGAGTAGGGTGAATAGCACTAGATTTTCCCAACTACAATGTAATTTTTATTCTTCAGAAAATAAGAACCTGTTTAAGAGCCTCAACAGGCTAAATTTGTGCAAATTTGTTCAGGCTAACTCGAGGGGTAGTACTGTATCTCAGATCTGTCTGCAATTTACAGAGACTCTCTCAGTGTCACTGATGATATCTATGCCAGGTATACTGATTTTATTTTATATGTACTCAGCTTTTGAAGACCTTAATGAGGCCTACGACGCTTTGATTAATGACGAGTCGATAGAGGGAATGATGGAGGAAGTGTTTACAGCCATGGAATACATCAAGAAAAGGAACAATCCTTTGTTATCTGTTGTCCATTTCTTTGAGGAGAAGCATGGCTATGGAGTGGCATTCAAAAGCAATCCTTTTTGGGAAGAAAGCAACCTGGACAACTGCATCAAGAAAGTTGTCCAATTCATAGTAAAAGACGATAAATACGCGGTTATTTCCAAGTTCGACGGTGATATCAAGGTATGATTTTAATTAAAGTCAAAAGCCGTTAATAGCGTAAAAAGACAATGCCAGGGGGCCTTAGAAAGTGTCCGTATCAGAACGGGGCGTTCGTATTGAGAGGGGTTGAATTTAGAGAAAATGTAAGGCCTTTCGTTCACCAAGAACAAAGCAAATTAAACGATTGACTGATTTACTGGCTGCCTAATGGACTAAGTGTCTGCATCGATTGATTGAGTGACAGACTTGCTGATTGCCCGTCTTACTGACTGACTGTTTGGCCGACTAACTGACTGACTGATTAAACGCCACACTGACTGACTGACTGACTAAAAGATTGAAAAAGAGACTGACTAACTGACTGTATGACCAATTGACTGACTGAATAGCTGGCTGAGTGTGTGGCTGACTGAATGACTGATTTACTGACTGACTGACTGAATAATTAATTTAATTACTGACTGACTGACTGGCTGGATGAATGAATGATCTTTAACGGATGATCGATTGATAAAGTGATACTAATGGGCTGGTCTTTGATCATGGACTAACTGATCCATTCATTGATGCCATGCTAAAGGGTTCTTTTCGTGTTCCGTGAAAGCCTTTTTTTATTTCCCGCGATTTATGGGTGACTTTCGTGAATGGCTTTATTTTAAGTGAAGAGTAAAATGGCCATTTCGCCTAAAGGGTAGACTTACCCAAGTCGGACCTTACGAATTTAAACGAGCGGAGCGAATTTCCGAGCAAAAGACGAAGTCGTGAGAGGACTCGCGCCGTAGTAAATCGGACTAAAAGACTTTTTTGAAATTCCAGCTGGAGGGGTTTATCGCACTCGACTGTTTCATTCAACGGGTGCTTTTGTTCTTTTTGTCTAGGCTGCAAGGCGGCGCGAAGAATAGTGACAACATGCACGCAACGTCCCCCCGACCTGTCCCCGCCACCTTAACGTCCTCGTTATTCCAGGCACTAATCTAACGATTCTAACCTTTTTGTTTAATCGCTTTATCTACAGAATTCCCCAAAACAAAAGAAGCAGGGACTAGAGGTCAAAAACATGCTGAGTGATCTGAAATCACCAATGTTTATTACAATCGTCATTGGCCTGGGCTTAGTGTTTCTAGTATTCCTTATTGGTTATATCTGGCATAAGTATTGCAGACTTAGATGCAAGAACACGTTCGAAAATACAAGCCATGCTAGTGAAACGGGAGAATGTTTGGGTTAGTGAAATATCATCATGATTGTAATAACAGCATTTAACGACAAATTGTTCATACCAATAATCAATTTCTGGTAAAAATATTATGCTAAACTAGAATCTTCTCATTTCATTACACTGTGTGTATCCTAGATCAAACTGCTTGAAAACCTTACTAGCATCACGCGGCGTTAGCATCACATCTTTGCAAGTCTTTAAGAATTTTTCGAGCTTTATGAAAATCCTTCCCGATAAGATTTCATGTGCATTGTTTTTCAGGTGAAAATTGCAATGGGAAATCGCCAGATGAGAAACGTTCTTCTGTGGCTTTTGAAACCGGGCCTGCATAGAGTTTCTATTACAGTACCGACAGAACGAAACATTGCAAATAGAATAGTGCACCTTTCCATGGTGTTATGTTAATTGTAATGGTGTCTCATAAACCGCGCCCGCAGAGAGTTTCTATCACAGTGCCGGCAGAACGAAACATTGCAAATAGAAAAGTGTACCTTTTCATAGTGTTATGTTAATTATAATGGTGTCTTATAAATAGCAACGACTGTTAAGGGAAGAGAAAATTGCCTTGTCTTCAGAGAGTCTACAACAGAGGTGTTCTTACTCGCCGCCGCCTTACTGGAATGCAAGAATACCCGGAGACTAGGTTGGATCTCGCGCAGCTATATCAATCTTCCCGCGCATGCAGGTATATTCAGTGGAGGTCAGCTGATACGTTTCCAGCTAATGACAGTCGCTGGTACATCTGCGTAACGTGCTGTAGCCTGTATAGTCTGCACTACATTCTAATTTTCGAAAGAGCAAGTTAGAGTAGTTATATTAATGAAGAAAAATGATCATAGCTATCACTGAGGACAGTATTTAGGGATATAAAGAGTTCTTGGAAAAAATGATACTACTACAAATACCACCACACATGTAAAAGACGTCTTAACCTAAAGATGTTTAAAAAAAGTTGTTCAGAGTTATTGCAGACTTAACATAGCACTCAGATAGAAGAAATACATAAAATTCATGTACCTCAAGTTCAAAGAGGACTTACAAGGTTTTCAAAAGAGTTCTGAGACAGAGAAGACACATATCGACATGAGCTTTGAACAAGCTTTGAACTGAGACATTTCTTCTATTTACTGACAGGTCATATGATACCTGCTTTCGTGTGCGTAATATAAATATTATTCTTTACAGACTTTAAGCTTAAAAGCTTAAAGAATGTACATGTAGGCGTTCAAGTGTGGAAAATTTGGTAAATCTGTTATATGTTTTTTAACTGCAAGTCAAACCAACAAAACAAAATGAAAAATGATCACGTGACATAAAGTATGACGTCCCAAACTATTTTCTTAGTTCTGGCGCAGGTAAAAATTCACGGCCTCTTTTCAATTCCTTTTCTTTTAGCTTTCGACTGTAAAGCTGCAATCCGCAGTAAAGATGTTTGACGTTCAAAATTAAACACCTAAAATTAGAATTTTTATACAATAGGAGGGCAACTAGTCTCTGTTCTTGGAACTTTCAGATATTCAAAATGCCATAACTCAGCGAATATTTCAGATATTGGAGCGTTTAGCTCTGAATTGGAGGGGGGGAGGGGTGAGGCAAAATGCATGCCGTCTTGTTTCAAACCCATTTATTGGCAGTTGCAATAGAGCAGATTCACGTTATAGTCACTGACTTTTGTATATTTGAAGTACAAACAAATTATATACCCTGTTTAGGACTGAGAGAACAAAGACCATTACACTGTCTAGCGGGACATCCCCTTATAACAAATGGGACGTCATGATTGGACATTTGCACAGCGAATATTTGGCCAGATGTTCCTTGTTTACTGGCCAAGTTCAGAGGCACCCAACGGGAAATTTTGAGAAAAAGACCTAAAAACAAGAACAAAGCATGAACAAAGCTTTCTGAAGTCATTTTGAAAAGCATTATTGGAGATTGCTGGGAAAAATTTCCTCACTCCCAGCAAGGACTGATGGAAGAGTTCCCAGCCAGCAAGCTGCACCTACAACCTGCAACCTGACTTACTAGGAAGTTTCCCTGCAGACATATTTCCATAAATCACTGGCCAGTTTGGGTGTGGTC